AAATACCCCATTTCCTATTGCTCACCTTCCTTTTGGGACTTCCTTTCTTCCATTGAAAGTGTTTCTATTCCTAAGAATGTGGCAGAAGCGTTTTTGGTACCTAATGGATAGATTCTATAAATGGAAGAAATTAATGCTTTACATAAAAATGGCACATGGGAATTAGTAGATCTTCCTGAGGGGAAGGAACCAATTGGATGTAAATGGGTTTTCACATTAAAACATAGGATTGATGGCACGATGGAGCGGTGTAAAGCTCGTTTAGTGGCAAAGGGGTTTACACAAGTGTATGGAGTGGATTATGCAAAACCTTTTGCACCCGTTGTTAAGATGAACTCCATTAGAGTCCTTTTATCCTTAGCTCCATTAGAGACCTTCATCAACTAGACATCAAGAATGCCTTTCTAAATGGTGACCTTGAAGAGGAAGTGTACATGGTACAACCCCCTGGTTTCCGGAGAAAGTATGTCCTAAATCTACTCCAGGATACAGGAAAATTGAGAGTGAAGCCAGTTAACTCTCCTATTGATCCTAATCACAAATTAGGTGACTGTTAAGGTGAACCCATCAAGAATGTGAAATAATTTCAGAGAATTGTAAGAAGATTGTTATATCTTTCTTTGACTCGACCAAACATTGCTTATGTAGTGGGTGTTCTTAGCCAATTCATGCATGCCCCTAAGACTACCCACCTTGAAGCAGTTGAAAGAGTTCTCAGATATCTTAAGAAGTTCCCAGGTGCAAGCTTATTGTTTCAAAAGCACAGACATTTGAAAGTTGAAGTGTRTACCGATGCAGATTGAATAGGATCACTGAATGATAGGAAGTCGACCAACGGCTACTGTAGCTTTGAGGGAAGGAACCTTGTTACCTGGAGAAGCAAAAAGCAGAATGTAGTAGATAGGTCTAGTGTGGAAGCTGAATATAGAGCAATGTCTCATGGAGTTGCTGAAATTATGTGGCTAAAAAATTTGTTGAGTGAGTTGGGTTTTCCAGTTGATGGACCTATGACTATTCTGTGATAACAAAGCAGCCATAAACATTGCTGCTAATCCAGTGCTACATGATAGAATTAAACACATCGAAACCGACAAACATTTTATCAGAGAAAAGGGCGTCACAGGGAAAGTGTGTACCCCTTATGTTAGTTCTGAAGACCAACTTGCAAACATTTTCACAAAAGGGTTACACCACTCGCGGCATCATGATTTATGTGACAAGTTGAGCTTGATTGACATCTATGTCCCAACATGAGAGGGAGTGTTAAAAGTCAGTTATTCTTTATATACAATACCGCATGTTAGACAGTGTATGCCCTTACCTCCGATCAGATTGATGTACARATACATTTATTGTAAATGAATAAAAATACATAATTGTTTCATGTTGTCATTGGTATGTTTTTGTCAATTTACCCCTTAAACTAGACATTTATGAGACTCGTGTTAGTTTAGAATGTTCTCAACCGTTGGATAGACTTGAGGAGTTTATTTTGCCAAGTCTGACATTGATGTGCTGCCAAAGAAAGTGGAGCAGCTTGTCTCAGCAACTAAGGTTAGACCTGAAGCACATATAGTGTGTGTTTGGTTGAAACACTGAACCTGAACCATTTTCCAATTATGCCCTAGACCTTGGAGATTGATGGGCAAAACTAGAAAGTTACAAATAACCCCTAGACTTGATTATGGTACTGTACTTGGTGTCGGATCGGGTTGTCCTAATATGCCAACCAGTGAGATCCTTTGGGGGTCAAAACTTAGGTATGTTGGGATAGTCTAAGAATTCACTTAAGTAGGTGATCATAGTGATAGGGTCAACCCCTTTGTTAGACAAAGTGAATGATTAGGACTGCACTCTCTCTAATGAAAACCTAAACTGCCGGCAGTGGATTTCAACCGTGTTTAAGATTTGGTTTTGCAAAGTATATTTATATGATATATATTATGTTTTAAGAAAAATGTTTGCAAAAGGTTTTAATTCCCGGGACCCATCTAAGTAGAGAGTGTGACACTGCACCTTGCAGTCAGGGGAGAGGTCCTTCCCTGTTGGGCAATGTTTGATCATTGTGGACTGAGAGGTTAAGTGTAAGAGACCATTAAGGGCTGATTACCTAATGGGTTATATCTTACGTAAGTCCATTATCGTTGGATCTTCATAGGATGACTGGATTCAATGATCATTTAACTATAAATGTTGGGCCCATTTTGAGCCCATAGTGATAAGCTCAGGGGTTCACTGCATTTGGCAGTGAATTCGGCCAGGCCTTTTCACAGAGGTTGGGCCGAACCCATGTGGCCTTATGTGAGATCATTGTGGGGTCCCACACCATACAAATCTAACCTAAATATGCCAGCAACAGTCTTGGGTCGTGAGCCACTTAGTTAATGGGCCTAAAGCCCATGATTGATATGATTAATCAAGATGCCACATGACTACTTAAGCTGTCATGTGACATGGGTGAATATGGGTTTGGAGCACCCGTTCTCTTAAGAGGATAAGACCTATCTCTTGATAGAGTCTAGATCCAAATAAAGATTTGGATAAAAACTCCTAATTTGATTAGGAGAGGTGTTCTAAAAGGATTAAAAGAAGAAGAGGGTGAACTGCTTCAGATCACTCTACAATTTCAGCTTTCTCTCTTCCCCTAATTCCACTCAGAAACCCTAGTTCGATCTCCAATTTTGGGACTGATCTTGATCAGTTCTTTCTCTGAATTTTGCAAGAAAAATACAGAGAAAAATCATGCTCACCTCCCCAGTTCGATCCAAGGTGTTGGATTGTAGTTTTGTTGAAAACTGTGTTGCTGAACCAACTTCACTTCAGTGGAAGCTGGTTTTGGAATTTGATTTGGGCATGAACTACCCTTTGGGAGCTACATTTGTGGAATCCGTATCAGGTATACATCTCCCTCCTTTTGGTTTCAAATATGATCCGGTTACAGTGCAAGATCAATCCTAGAAAAATGTAGTTTCTCTAAAACTGGGAATACGATTCCCGGAAGGTTAAAAGAAAATTTTTGAAATTTCGCCCAACCATCTAGCAAGGTTTGTCCATCCATATGATGGATTCCACCTTCCTTCACCGCAGGGGTACTATTGTATTTTCCATCTTTTATTTTTTGTGTTATGTCGCTCTAGTATAAATACTAAAAGCCGGTGCCGCCAGCATGATCTTTTGACTCTCAAATCTCTCTTCTCTCTTCCTTTCTTCTTCTCTCCTGTAATACAGTACACAAATAGGCAAAAATATTCTCCTTGCCTTCAAAAATCCTATGGTTTCTTTCATTCCAGATGCACCAAGAAAATGGCTGCAGGAACCATCATGCAAAAATAAAATTACCTCTAGACCCCAAAGACAAGGATGGTAAAGATGAGATGACCCCACAGGGCATATGACAAACATGCAATCCATAGAATCTTCCATACTTATACAGATGCTGCATCTATTTGAGAAGTGAAGGCCCCTATCACTCTGGTTATCCAAAGTGAGCATCCTATCTAAGAAGACTGACAACACAAATGCTTAAATCCTAGGAGGAACATGCTTCTCCAGAGTCCAGACCAATCTGGATTCAATTGTTTCAACCAAGCCTTTGGCAAGGACAACATAGAAAAAGTTGACTAAGACTTTGTCCTTAGGATCATCTCTACTTTTTGGCATTACAAGGGACAATCTTTGTAATAGAGTCAGAGATTCATACATTTACCTCTGAAGAAGAGGTCTAAGGAATACCAAAGATGGGATTCCAACTGGATAGAAGAAAACAAATCATATATTGCCATTCTAACTTTAGTGGAAACTCCATAAAATTTAGGACCAAGGAAACGAAACTTCCCAGCACCATTCCAATCATACTCCCAGAAACAGATCCTAGAACCATCCCCAGCTTTGAACTCTGAGAGGGAGACAAGATCAGCATAGGTCTTCATAATTCATTTCCAGAAATTAGCACCATAGGTAAAATTGACTGGATTAAGGACCAACCAAAACAAGCTTAACAAGAAGAATTTAGTCTCTTGACAARCTTTAATATAAAAATGTCCTCTCACTTGAGAATAGATATTGCAGTGCCACTCTAAGCCAAAACTTTCTTCTCTCTCTTCTCTTCTTCTGCCTCCTTATTTTCTTGGTACTAGAGCATTTTTTTGGTAATAAATAAAAAAGGAAAATTCATTAATGAGGAAAAAAGAGTACAACTAAGGGGTGATGAGAAACATACAAAGAGACCTTGTTACAATCCATAAATTCTGGAAGAATCATGATCCAAACTAATATCCTTTTCCCAATGATTGAGGGAAGATGATTGTGAAACTTGTGGTGGAACAAACTCCAAAGTACCTTGTTTTTCTGCTTCTGTTCCAAGTAGGCCAAAGAGTAAAAAATTCTTTCGGTGAAATTGGAGTCCATAAATCCATTTTGAACAGACGAATGAAGTAACCCCAAATGATCTTCGAGTAACACAATCAAAACAAATGTGAAAAACATCTTCTGCAGCCTAGGGAGGAAGCCAACTCTTCACAATTTGGAAGTTCACTCTTATGAATATTAGCTCATTTATAAGGTCTATAATTTAATTCATGCTTCTATTAATCAGTTATCCAATAGGAATATGACATTTTATATTAGTTCTGGCACTCAGGTTTCCATAGGTAACTTCATTTCCAACTTGATTTCCTTAAAATGAATTTTATACTTGGACAACTTGGCAGTGCTCCACTCTTAACTTAAAATTGTCACATGCATCACCAGAGTCTATAGGCACCAATTGAAGTAGCAGAAGATGTACCTGATTGGCCATCTATAACATATGACAGAAACCGAATAAATACGTAGAGCAACAAAATTCTAACTGGTGATGTAATAATGCAAGGAACAGGATGAAATTAGAAACATGAAAAGATTAGACATTAGGAATTTGAACAATGCAAAGGCACAAAAAGAGAAAACAAATGGAGTCATAGAAGAAGATTCAAGTATAATTCTCATCTTAGCAACTCAACCTGCTTTGCATACAATGAGAGCAGCAAGTTGTGCACACCAGGATCCTCATTATGCAAACGATGGACACAGAACTCCAAATATTTGATGACTTCATGTGTTTCATTCCTGCACACCAAATGTAATAAAGGAATCATAATAAAAATTCTAATTGATGGTATCATACAAGAATAATATGTTCAAGAGAACAGGCCCCTACATCTAAAACAATAATATGTGATCTTTAATAGTCACATGTGTTTTTTTTTATCATTTTTCATAATGATTTATCAAAAAGACAGGGAAAATAGAGAAAAAAGAGAAAGAGACCAATTATTTTTATTGTTGAGCCAAACAATAAAAATAAAAAGGCCCAACTATGTTAAACTAGATAGTCCATCAGGCACCTCAAACCTTCAAGTGACACTCCAAGGCAAAATCTTCTTTATTTGCAGAGGAAAATTTTAATGGGTCTTGCAATGATGCTATACACTGAAATGACTATTTGCCAATTAGTACTGCCAAGTGCTAAACTTCCATATCCAGGAGAGTGGTATCACTTGAAACCATGTAAAAGGGGTAAAATATGCATGAACAATGGTGCTTTTACCATCTCTGAAGGCTGCTCCTTTGCCTAAAGGATGAAGTTACAACTGAAATATCCATAAAAATATAGCTTGATACAGATGGCCTTACCACCGAGTGAATGGATGACTGAGAAAACTCCACCCATTTACTGGCTAACCCTCCAAACTGATAGACTGTGCTCAACTAATAAGCCACTCTTACCTTGGAATTAACTGTATATGATATGATAACAACAACTATACACTCTTCCAACATTTGATAATTGGCTTCACAAAAGATGATATTTCTCACCTTCACTATTCCACGTAAAGACATTTGATTAGATATAATAGTTCTGTGTTCAGGAATACCAAGGCCAATCGATTTCCACCCTAGTACAATTCTTTGTTTACTTCTCTTGATTCTGTTCAGACTCCCACTTAACAGAAAGTTTTTAGCATTTCATGTTAAGAAAGCCCATGAAGGCCCACAATCTTTACATCAAAATGATACATGGGAACATGTTTTGCCACCATCTAAGACATCTATTATTGGAAGAAAGTGGTTTTCTTTGTAAAATTGAAATCATGTTGAAGCATTGATTGGAACAAGCTTACCTAGTAATCTAAGGCTACAAACAATAATATGGAGTTGACAATAAGGAGACTTTTACTCCTGTAACCAAGTTGACCACTTTTTGTGTAATTCTTGTACTTCCTGTCATTCAGCCAAGTTAGATTTGCTCCTCTAGCCAAGTTACATGCCTGTGTAGATGCTCATTGGGTAGGTTGCTCATATACTAGACTCTCAACTATATGATGGTGTGCCTTTCTTGCTTGTGTTGAAGTTCGGCCTGCCGTAGAAGTCTGTTTGTCTGTTAGCAGTCAAGTAAAGCAAGCAAGCAAGAAGAAGGAAGAAAGASGAAGAAAGAGAGAAAAGGTCTGGTTCGAAATTAGGAAAAAATCAAACCCTACTTTCGGCCAGACCTGTTATTATATTATTAATGTGATAGGAAAAGACATCAGTGCCCTTATTTAAGTAAGAGGCACTCGAACTAACATAATAAAACAACTCAGCAATCTCAACAGGTACAAAGACCGAAATACCCCTTCACTAACAGCTTGTTTATTGGAAATGTAATAAACAACAAACTATTTCCAAGATACTAAGGATGAGTAACATACTATGTTGTTTGTCTATAGTGAGATATGATACCCAAACATGCCTAGCATACTGGTGTTGAACACAATGGGAACCCAATACACTATAGACTTCATGGACATTTCTAGATACTTTATAGCATTAATAAAAATATAAAATTATGCGTTTTAGCATATTATACCATAAAAAATATGTAAATGTAAATGGGATACCCATACTGATATCATTGTCCAAGTTTTTTTGACAATAAAAGCAAAAAAACAATCATTAAAAGAAAAAGAGAATACAATAGGAAGTTGATAAGGAATCACCCATGAGAAGAGAAAACACCCAACAATATAAACAATTTACTCAACGCCAACAAGAACCCCAACCCAAGCAAAACAAGATGAACAAAAGACGAACTTCCTATCACAAAAAAAGAACTGAGAAATACTCCAAGAAACTCCACCTTACACCAAAATTATTCCTCCCCATCGAGCACCTCTTCTTTGTCATCTCCCTCATCTCAACCCATCTCTCTCCTCCTTCACTTGAAGTGGTCTTCTTTCAGTTCTCCTCCATATTTCTTCTTTTGAATTCTTCGAAGGCTCTTCTAGAAAAAGCTTCTCCAACTAAGAAAAATAAGCCCAAAGCCTTTTCCCTATCTGCAAGACTCTTAACGCCCATACTTCCACCAGAATCCTCCTCCACCGTAACAATTGGCTTGTCACCTATTCTCGAAGAATTGCAATCACCCACCTTCTTTCTTTTCCCCAAAGGAATCGAATTTATACAACACCCCTTTAATCGAAATCGCCAAAGGCTCATTCAGGCTATCAGCACAAGCACCACTATGGATCTTCTTACTTGTGGTCTCATATACACTCTTTTATACTTGCTATGGGTCCAGTCCCAACAAGCCCCACTTTCAGATGCAAAAAGTTCTTCGCGACATGCACAAGAGATCTACTTGTACTTTTATTTCTCTTCACAACTTTCAATCCATCACCAGAGACAACAATAACAAGCAGATCTCTCTTTCTGCCCAAACCATCTCCAATTCTTCCTACCATCACTTCCTTAACTGAAAAACTCTCACAACTACACTGAGGACTTGAACAGTCCTCCTCAACATGAAAACCAAGCACCTGATTACTAGTAGAAGCTTCTCCAATTTCTGGTATTGTAGCATGAGGATCCGGACTAGAACTAAAATGGAAAACTGAAAATGACCCACAAGATCAACTGAATATTGATCAACTCATTAAGCAACTTCAATCGGAACCTGCCAAGCAACCAAACTTGGTCCTTCACACTGGCCCTCCACATCATCTTCCCCTGTGCCATCTCCTAAAGCACACTTCCCCAATCAATGCACAGCATGGCCATCTTCCACCAGGTTGACGTTCTTCAGTCCCTGCTTCAAATTCTATCTACCTTGTTATTACCCAAATCCAATCTTCACTTGAAGACTTCGATCGAGACAAAAACCAGCTCTTCTTCCCTTATTCAAGATACCTGGAGTCTTGGAACTTTTTTTGGACACCCTAAAAAGCCCTTCTTTTTATAACCCCCCAATTTACCCCAACAATCAATGATCCTTGTCTTTTTCTTAGAAAAGTGGGACCCACTCAAACACCTTTCCCCACTCGAATCTGCAATTACCAACTCCCTTCCCATATTCAAACCATTCTTTCCTGACCCCTCGACTTCACCTTGCACAAGTTCCGAACCAAAAGACTTAACCCCCTTGATCCAACCCTCAATCCCTCATCTCCTCTCTAATAACTCCACTTCCCAAAAATCTTCAGAAAGACCCACCCAAATCAACTTAAAAAATGCCACCCATTCCCAAAACACCCTTATCTTCACTCCGATCCTTTGACTTCCTCTAAACTGAACAAAGAACTTTTCATCTTCCTTTCTCGCCCAAGCACCACTGACTCAACATTTTCGGACCAAGATCCTAGTAAATGGAGTGTCTTATCCCCATTTTCCAAATCTGTTTGTGTTAGTCTAATAGATAGTTGGATTATTTGGCTTTGCAGTCTCCTATATGATTTACAAACTGGCACCACTTCACTGCCTTCTCTCCATGTAGACAACACAAGTGCTATCCAAATTGCCAACAATCAGTATTAAATAAGAGCATTTGAACACATTGAAGTAGACTACCATTTCATTTGTAATTTAATTCTCTCCCTTACATAACTTAATAGTCCTAGTTAGCAGATATTTCACTAAAGCTATGACTTGTGCTCACTATGAGTTGTTGACAAACTAGGAATTGTCTCCAAAGCCTCAGCCTGAGGGAGAGCATACAATAAGTGGGGTAGATGCACTATAGTATGGTACATCACGTTGTAGCATGAACAAAGTTATTCTTTTATTCTTTTGCTATTTTCTGTTTGGTCCTCTTCAATTATATGTATGTAAGTTTGCATCACTTATCAAGTATAAATAGGCTCTTTAAAGGTGAGGGTTGACTCACTGTCACCCTGTATATTTTATTAATAATTTATGATAAGTTTTCACTTACTACTACCATAGTTTAACCAGATACACAAATGAATATATAAGCATCCGCAAAAGCATACTAAAGAAACAGAAACAGCCTAATTACCTTCACATCAGGACTTGAACATACTATAGATGATACTAGTAAAGGTACTTACTTTGCATGAGGTTCACTTGAATAGCGCATCATTGCAGGAATCAATCTCCTTGGATTTAGGTTGCTTGTGTTCATCCAGCATTCAACAGTTTCATATGCATCAAGCATGATTAGATCTGGAGCAAACTTGTACTACAAAATCATACAAGTTATTGTGGTTTTTAAGTAGGTGAATATACTCAATGAGGAAGATGAGGAAGAAGATGAAAACTTGCAAGAAACCATTATAATGGATAACCAAAAATTAATACATAAATTAGGCTGAAAAGGGAAATAAACACTTCAATTCATCTAGTGTATATCTGTACCTGTAGATCTATAGGAACAGCAGGTTTTTGTAGAACTTCCAATGCCTTCTTGGCTTCTCCTTGCTAAATTCAATACCAGAGAGAAATAGGAATCAGTTCAAAAGCTTTACTTCCCATTGAAACTGTACTGTCTCTGCTGCAGTATTTGGAAAAACTACAAATGAACTTAGGAAAAGCTCCAATAGGTGATAAAATGACAGAAGGTAGACTAAGATGGTTTGGTAACATGCTTAGAAGAGCATCAAAAGCACCCTAACAACAAGTGAACTGTTGCAGGTTGAAGGGGCTAGAAGGGCTAGGGGTAGACCAAAAGGGGCATGGGTTGAGTTCATGAGAAATGGTTTAAGTGCTTATAATTTAACAATGGATATGACATTAAACAGAACGGAATGGAAAAACAGTATTCATGTAGCTGAATCCATATAGTTGGGATAAGGCTTAGATAATGATGATGATGTCTTTATTGCAGTATTTACTTCTTGTTAAGAATATGCCAAGTTTATGCATAACGGTATTTAGACACAATCATTTTTTTGATAAATTATTAAGACACTATCGTTAGCTTCCATTATAGGTATTGTTCACAATAAATCTGATATAAATCAGTTAATCATGTTATCCAAAAATAAGTAAAAACAGTCATCATATTCTTGTTATCCAACATATGTGAGGTGTTTTATTTTTCCGGAAACTATGGAGTTGTACATTATCAGTTTTTCTTTTCTGTTTTGTGCTGGTAAAAAAAAATCAGATGACAAATGTCAAATGTTTATGAGAAGCTTCGACAGAGCTATTAGCCTATTATCAGTGTATGGTGAATATAAAATAGGACAGAGTTGTTATGAAAGAAAAAATGTGCAAATTCAAAGATAAAAGAGAAAAAATATAACTTCTGTCGATGCTAAGAATTAATGTAAGTATTAAATCATCAATAGCAACATAAACATAATCATGCTGAAGGTAGTCAATGGAAAACAATTGGAAATTTTTAACCAATGTTAAGAGCCTCTAGACTTGAATTCAGGTATTCTCTAAATTTAAAGTTCATAAACTAAATAGGTATTTCACAAGTCCAGTTGTCATGCTTATGACATGATGAATTGGAAAGGATATACTAAATGCCCAAGTAATCTATAGACTCTGCAACTCGGGTTGAGATGAATATCATGGAGTCAAGGTAACCTATAGACTCTGCAACTTCAGATGGACATCCTAGAGTCATATGGAATTATGATCATTAGACTGTGAATGCAAAAGCTCTTTTTTTTTTCTTTTCATTTTTTCTTGTCAGGATACTTGGAAGAAAATAGGCATTGGACGGAGTTATGGCCAAAACAAATGGAAATAGGAGGTTGGAACATCCCTCTCCTATAAAGAGAAAAGGTCTGAACCTTATCACTAGTTCACTACCTAAACAATACCAATGTTTTAAAGTGCAGAGGCGTGACGTGAGGCGTTCCACTACCTAGAGGATCAGAACACAAGAGGTGTAAGCCTCCTTAAGAGGAGGGAGCTAGGAGGAGGAAGGGGAGGAGGATGAAGAGGAAGGGGGGATCTCACTTTTTCTTTATTTAATAAAAATCTTTTATATTAAGAAGAATAAAGATGCATAACATTAGTTGAAAGGAAGGGGCGCACCTCCAGGCATACGCCTCCCACGCCTTTTAAAACATTGAACAATACCATAAAAATATACTTATTATAAAACAAGGTTAAAGAAAAGAAAAGTTTTGATACTACATGTAAATCCCTCCTCACTCTGAAACTAACAAAGACCATCAACAATATCATCTGTCAACTTGCATGCAACAGAATGACATGTTCATGGATTCTAAAACGGATTTGATCTCTTGGGTTATGTTGAACAGTTTCAAGATTCCCTACTTAAACCCTAAAAGCCAACAACTAAAGATCTGCAGCTCATTCTATGGTGACTTCCACACTAAAAGAGAAGCACCAAGGTCTTGACTTTGATGGAATATGAGTCGATAGGATCCGTAAATGCAGAGACTGCCACACCAGTGTAGCCACAGAAGTCTCCCCCAATACCAGATAACCCGTAGTAAGCATCTCAAGTTATGCTAGGCTTTTCTACAAGAAAAAAGACTACCAATCAAATAGATTGATGGTCAAAAAGCTAGAATATAAATTCGGAAAAAAAAACTCAAAATTACTAATCCAAATTACCCAAAATTATGAATTTACCACTGGTTCAAGATTATTAGAAAATCTTGATATCTTCTTCTGTGGTTTATTTCCTTGTTAATTTCCTATCTTGTTTCTATCACCAATTGACAAGAAGATAGTAGCAGGGGGAGGAGATAAAACATACAAACAAGAATGAAAAGGGGTTAGCAGATAGATAGGGGTGCAAATAAGTTACTCAGTCTGAAGCATTTACACTGCATTGGGCTTCGGCCCTTGGGTCGGGTCCATTCAAAAGTTAAGAAACACCCAACCAGGCCTGCCCAGATTGCACCCCTAGTGGTAGAAGATTCAATGTCAAGGACTAAATGATTTCTAGAAAGGTGATTTTTGTTTCTTCTCAGAAAAATAAAGCATGGATGGGAAGGAGATGAGGATGAGATCAAATTGCCATTACAAACTCAAGTTGGAGGTGATACAGAGGTTTTTTTTATAAGGAACAAAGATAAGAGTGTTGAGAAGAAGGGAAAGAGTTTTCTCAAGATAGAGAAGAGGAGGCTACAACTCATCCAGTGGCAAGTCTCATGACATAGTCATATTGAAGAGAATCAAATAATGACCCTCATCAGATTATTGATTGGAAATGAGGAAAGCAGGATAGAAGGTTTAGTACTAATTCCATTGGAGAAAGAAAGAAATGAGGTGTGATGTAGATGGTTTTCATCAATCCTTGACCAAATCCTGGAAAAGAAGGCAAAGAGAAAGATGGATACGGATCCGATCATTTTGGATTCAGATGATCCATTTATATAGTTGGATCAGAAGTGAATTTTATAATATATAAGTTGAAAAGTAATTAGTTTTTTCTAAACTTCTTAACTTTTCAATGATATTAAAGATAAGAAAGCAGACCCAGATTCAATCTAAGTAATAGGACCAAGTCAACAGGTTTTTGTAAAATAGTGGCTTGAAGGTTGACCCAAACCAGTATTGTGACAATGCCACTCAGCTACTGGTCTGAGTGGCTGGGTTAACAACAGGTTGAAAATTCTGAATTAGACTACGGAGGGGTTTTATTCAAAGCAGGAGTTGCCTAGACAAGCAAGATGTGTGTTGTTTGACAATCTACTTATGTTGCCTAGGCTTAGAGTTGGTTAATTTTCTTTAGCATGAAGTAGTTATCTTATAAGCTTCTTTCATGCCTTGTATAGCTTTTCAGAGGGGTAAGGTTTTTATGCCCCCCCCCCTCATATAGGTTTTGGTTATATATTAATAAAATTTTCAGTGGCCACCCGTCCACAGGGAGTAAAGTTCGGGGATAAAAAAAATCAAGAGAGGTTAATGTTGCTGGTTTTTGAACTGAAATTTGGATATAATGAAGCTTAGTGTAGAAGAGACCCACCAAATATCAAGCTAATTAGAATATAGGAGGCTTTCATCAAGGTAGGTTAATGTTGCTGGGTTTCTTGGACTGTCAACAGTTGGTCACAAGTTCAAAGTAAAACGTTTGACTAATAGGCCCTACATCTAGGTCCACCTCAAGATAGAGTGTTTTTGGTTTGAATCTCATGTTAATTGGATCAGTAGTTAGTTATAGTAATTCTTTCAGTTCAGGAAAATTATAGTCAGTTTTGTCTTTTTCCATGCTTCTAATATTTGTGTGTTGGATTGCATTTTCTGATTACATTAAGGAGTCAAAGTTTAATGGTGCTAATCCATTATCTTAAGGTGAATCACAACCAGAAGCAAATGGGGTTACATTTAAATATGGGGCTACTCCTAAAATTGCAGTGAGAGGCAAGATGAATGGAATTGTCAAGAAAGTAACAAAAGTGGTATTTGGCAACGCAGTGGAGAATAAAAATATTTCGGACATCACAAGTTGGTTAAAAGAGTTCTACTCAAATTAGTAGAGTGGCAATCCAAAGAGATGTTGAATGTGGTCTGGTTGAAGAGGTCTTCTAAAAGGTTGGTACAGAAATGCCAGGGCAAATGAAAAACCAGACTAGTAATAGAAATCATAATGAGGCTATTTAAGTATCAAGAAAATGGTACAGTGATATGAAGGGGAAGGATGTTGGAGGAAAGGGGGAACATAGACGAAAAGATTGATTTGAGGTTAGAAAGGTAGGTGGTTTTGAAATTAAAGAATGAATGTAAAGCAGAAAGAACAACAATTTCGATAAGATTCTTCACATGATCCTCATTTGTAAAATTTTCTTATGCAAATATTATCAAAACATAAGAATGTATTTGTAAATAAGTATATACAGCACCTTAATGTAATGGTGAACCACAATCTCATAGTGCTCCTTAAGTCCAGCGAAGTAAACCAGCTCATCCACCCTACCATAACTGCAAAGGATAGAACAGAAAAAATGATACTAGTATATTTTTCATTATCTAAAGAAAGTAAAATCTGAACCCACATATTTGAGAAATTAATATTTGAGTAGTGATGTTACCATTCTGATGCATCATAAGTAGCAAAATTGGAAAAACAAAAAGGATAAGTTACTTATCAAGGACCAAATAGAAAGAAAAGGCACAGTGTGGAGCAATGCTACAGTTATTAGTTCACTCATCGTGTTCATTGTTCTCTCTATCCTTCTCCACTGTTCTCTCTATCTCTTGAGGCTAATGATAAATAACATGGTATTTTGGAGTTATCCATAATAGAACTCATTAAATCTTCTTCTCTTTATATTCTTTTCTTTCTTTGTTCCAGATTCTAAACTCCTAGAGATTAACTCCATCTGGCTGGACTAAAAGGACATATAATATTTCTATTTTTTCCTTGGTGACTCATAAAACCAAGATCTATTCTCTTGGGTGGTATAGTGACTCCTCTGTTGTGGAGAAGTAATGTGCTTCAGGCAGTAATTACGTTTTTCAGACTGTTGTGGTTTACATGTGATGCAGATGCGTAAGCAAGGAAGAATTCACAAGGTAATGAACCAATTTTCCAATTCCTACATCAGTTTCAGAATTTTTAGGTGATAGTATATTTGCATTGTTTGAGTTTTTTAATTTATTTTCTAGTTGTAGTTGTCTTAAGAATAAGGTTTTAAGTTCCAGAAATTTACTCTTATTTCAAAATTACTAGTTATGTTAACATTCAGACTTTTATTGATAGTAATTCTTGTAATTAGTTTTTATAGTAAAATTATACTAATTTTACTAATTTCTGGTGTCTTTATATTAAGTTAATTTTAGCAGGATTAGGAATGAGTGATAAAAATTGTTTTACGAGTTAGAATCTTTATTTAAGTTTCAAAGCCATTTGAAGTTGATTTGGGTTATGTTGCCTAGTCTAAATTGGAGTCTTTTAAGGGATATCCGAGTTCATATTTTGAGCCTATAAATAGATCACCATAATTGCAATTTAGGAAGGATTAATTTGATGAAATAAAGTTTGTTTTAGTGAATTATGCTGGTTGCAGGAATCTCTGAGGCAGGAGGAGCATGTCATGTAACCCTGCTAGTTGTGGGTTCCTAGGGAGGCCAAGTTAGCTATTCAGCATTGCTTCTTATTTTCTTGTTATTGTCCTAGTATTTTATCTTTAAGTTGAGTCATGTGAGTCACTTGGGGGGGGGGGGTATTTTTGTCAAAGTGTGTGTTAGGGCGTCACTTTGCTTAAGGGCAGCTATTATAAGCCTCATATCATGTTTGTAAAAGGATCTTTTGACTGTTTTGAAACTCTATAGACTTGTTCTATCCACAAATGTGGTGATTTCAGCCCGAAAAATGGGGTGTTCTTTGTTCCAGCTTTAATTTTACTGTTTCACCTCAACATTTTATCACTCCTAGTTGCTGTTTCTACCGGTTTTTACATTTTGCTGCATCTCTCTCCCTATCCTTCTTCCAAGTGATCTATCTCTTTGCCATTTACCATAACAACAAGAGTTCTTCCCTTTCTTTACAATTTCTTGTTCATTCCTTGGTAGATAGAAAGATGTCCACTTGCTTCTTCATTCTTGATCATCTATAGCACCTCCTTCACTTCATAAAGCCCATGACCAGACTTGAAATTTGTACAAACTCTACACTGTCCTAAATCAACATGTGATGAAGCAGTAACATTGTTTCCAAGTAGCTAACTTGGAGAATCTATCTACCTCTAAGTCCCTAAAGGTACTAGTCCTCGGATTACCTTCTAAGGGCAGGCCAAGATATCCACTAGCCCATTGGGACATTGAGCAACCTAGAGTAGAAGCAACTCTCTCTATCTCATCCCTGTCCATGTTAATTCCTGCTATGCAACTCCCACTTGGATTGGAAGTAATTGTTCTAACAGCCAAAGATGTTCTGGACAATTACAAAGGGTTAGTATGCACTCAAGTAGGCATGTAATTGATAGCATGTGACTGCACCAAAAATCCATTTGTTAGGTTTCATGTCAACTGGTTTTCTGGTGGCAGCAATGTTTTCTACATTCATGGTGAATGAAAGGATATAATTGCTTTGTGATTGTTTCATTCATCAGCATTTATAGTTGTTTAGCTGCCTGCAGTTGGTGGAGCTGTTGGTAGAGTGGCTGGTTTTTTATTCCTCTTCTGGTTTCTTTTTGGACTAACATACAGTTGCTGATGATACAACCATATCTGGGGCCTCTAGAACTCAACCTATGGTTGGTAACATCATTGAGAACCAAAATGTACACATATTCATCACTCGCTGAATGGCCCATCTTAGAATGTGGGATTAAAAACAGGCCTTTTGTATCTTGAGAACCAAAATGTACACATATCCATCACTCGCTGAATGGCCTATCTTAGAATGTGGGATTAAAAACAGGCCTTTTGAGTATCTTGGGATCCTTTGGGTAGGAACCCAAGAATGGAAGGGTTTTGGAAGCCAGAGGTGTAGAGGTTTTCTGATAAACTGGCTATGTGGAAAAGTAACTACATTTCTCTGGGTGGAAGGATAACTCTAATTAAATCCACAATGGCCATCTTACCTATTTACTTTTTCTCTATCTTCCACATACCAATGAAAGTGGCTAGGATATTAGAGAAACACACGAGGGGTTTTATTTGGAACCTCCCACTAATAATAAGATATAGTTGAATTTTGATGTGAGTTCTTCAGGTAACTCAGGCCCAGTAGGTAATGGAGATGTGTTTAGAGACTCTTTAGGCAAGGTGTAGCATTGCATTCAGGCCCAGTTGGCATTGGAGGCTCTCTGAAATCTGAGCTAATGGAACTACTACAATGTTTACAACTAGCAAAGCAAGATGGGATCCAATAAGTGGAGGTTGAAGGGGACTCAAAAGTACTTATATCATGGGCAAAGCATAACTCTCTAGGTGTTTGGGTGCATAGGCACATCTAAAGGGAAATAAATAGCCTACCTAAGGAAATGGGAATTGACTTCAAATGGGGTAGGACTGCAAATGGGATGATAGACTCCTAGCAAAGCAAGGGGTTTATAGACAACAACTATTTTGGGCAAAGTTTCAAATGGTTTTTTCTGTTTTTTAAATGGGTTGTTGGAATTTCTCCAACAAATGAATGTATTTGTTTATGATTTAGTTAACATGAATTTCTCCAACATATGAATGTATTTTTTTAAATAGGTGGTGGGGAAACTGAAGATTTTAAAATAGCACCAAAATATAACACTTTCAAGAAAAAATAGCATTCCTAGAAATGCAAATACGACAAAGATGAGGATCATATCAAAGCTGTACCGGAAAAAAAATGCACATGGCAGATTGAATAGATAGATTGGTATTTTGATGAAGTGAAAGATGAATAGATTAGACAAAACCGAAGAAATGAAGATTAGAATAAGTGGGAGGATGGTGATAGTGACATTGAAATAGAAAGGCATTACACATCATAGGACAAGGAAGGCAGTTAGTAGGATATACGAAGGTAGAGACAGCTTCAACTGAAAATGGAAACCGGTTCAAAGAGTCCCACGAAAGAGTCCAAGTTATCTCCAAGATGCCAGTTCTTTTGTTCTGCAACACCATTTTGTTGCGAAGTTGCAACATAAGAATGATTGGATAAAATGCTATGAGAATTAAGTAACTGTTGCAATTCACATCCATATATTCTCCCCCAGAACCACATTGTAAAACCTTGATAGCAAAAGATTGTTTTTCATCATTTCACCTAACCAAGAGGCTTTTCATAAGAAGAGACAAATCACCGACCAAATTCTGATAGCCAATGAATGTATGGAGAAAATGAAAAGAACAAGAAAAAAATGTTTATTTGCAAGTTAGATTTGGAGAAAGCATATGATTTGGAGGACTGGTCATTGTGGGAGGTGATGAAAAACTTTGGTTTTGGGGAAGGTGGTGCATGTGGATTATGAGTTGTCTTAGGACTTGTCATTCTGTGTTGGTGGATTTTTTCCCTGTCCTATGAGGGATTAGACGGGGGGGGGGGGGGGGGGGGGGGGCTGATGTGGACATAAAATCAAGATGTATGCAACACTTCAAGTGTACGACAATAAGCACAACAATACCAAACCGAAAACAACAAAAAGAAGTTGGATTCCTAGGGATTTCAGATCTGAACCTGAAATAGAACTTCTCCCAGAACAGTTTTATTACAGTAATAATTGTGTCAAGCTGGCCTATAGTGCGGACACATAGCAATAGAGGGATTGGAAGCATAATTGTCAAGGGGACGCCTAGGAAGGTGCCTAGGCGACAAGGTGTCCTTTGAGGCTCGCCTCGCCTAATCGCCAAGCAGTTTTCTACTTCCTACTATAAAATACTTTTTATTCATTCTTTTTTGAGATTATAATTATAAAAATAGACATTATTAAACTAAAATAATCATTTTGTGTTTATATACTAATTTCTTTTTATTATTTTCTTATTTATTAGGGTTTAATCAACACAAACATTGCTAAATGCTGTATTGAACCCTCAAAGACTTGAAAACCTGAACCAATAAGTAAGGAAGAACTTAAAATTTTATCTAATCAGCACATTTTCCTCTTCCATATATTCTTCTTCTACTTCTTTTTCTTTTTTTTTTTTATCAGTAACAGAAAACTTTCCTTAAATTAGAAAAAAGGTTAAAATACAAAGGTGGGGGAGGTAAACCCTCTTACCCCCCCCCCAACAGGAAAATTACATACTAGCCCAAAACAATTGGCTTCTTCCCACCCCCTGTTTGGCCAAAGCATCTGCAAATGAATTAGCACATCTTTTAACCCACCGGACACACATCCATTCCTAGGGTTAGCCACTTGAAATGCCTTTTTTCATTAATGTATGCCCATAGCCCATCGTTTGCCTTCTCTATCTAGTCATTTACCACTCGTGAATCTCCTTCGATAATCAACTTATTTATACTCAACTCCTTAGCCCTTTTTACCCCCTCCAAGAGGGCCTGAATTTCTGCTCTGAAAGAATGTCCAACTCCAATTGGTCCTGAAAAAAGAGATATAACTGAACCTGCCTCTGTTCTGAACACACCACCAACCCCTGATGGCCCTGGGTTTCCTTCACTGCTCCCATCAAAGTTGAGTTTGATAAAGCCTTCCATCAGAGGGAGCCACATCAGATGGACATTGATTCTACTAGGAGCCGAGACTGCTAGTATTAATCTCTTACTTTCAACTCTTTAAGCTTATGCTGAAATTTCATAACCTCCCACTTATCACTAGTATTAATCTCCATCCACCAGTCCTTTACCTTTTCTCTAAACCCTTGGTGACTAAGCCACATGTTCTCAAACCGAAACGGGCCTGGGCCATTTCCTCTTAACTCAATCTTGGATAAAGAGAAAGGCCAGTGATCAGAGGTTAACCTAGGTAAAACTATTGAGACCAACCCTCCCCAATGGGCTTCCCAATCCATTGTAAACAAGAATCTATCGAGCTTAGAGCAAATTAGGTTTGATTGAATATTAGACCAAGTGAAGTTACTACTCACAAGGGGCAACTCCTTCAATTCACAATTGTTTATGAATTCATTAAACTTCCTCATACTTGTGGTTTCCCTTTGTCTCATCTTATTGGACTCCTCAACAAATCCTATCACATTGAAGTCCCCTCCAATACACCATGGTCAATCCCACAATCCCTGTATTCAAGTTCTTCCCACATTTTATTCCTCTCCCTATGCCCATTAGGTCCGTAAATGCATGTTAACACCCATTCAAAACCATCCTCTTCATTTCGAAATTTAAGAGACATTGTAAACTTCCCCATCAATTCCCCTTTTCCCAACATGTTCTTCTTCCATAGTACCACCATACCACCTGAGGAACCCCATGACAGTGACATTTCCCAACCTATGCCCCAAGACCTCCATATACTTCTGGCCCATTTGTCATCAAATGTCGAAAGCTTAGTCTCTTGCAACAAAACAACATCCGGCTTCTCCTTCTTCAACAAATCCTTTATTATAGCTCTCTTCCTCGTGCTCCCTAAACCTCAAACATTCCAACTGATAATTTTCATCAAGTCACTTTAATTTTATATCCCTTACCTCAGCCCCTTGAATTACTTGCCCCCTCTTCTCCTACCCTTCCTCTCACCGAACTCTCTATCTCCCTCAACATCAAGCTTTAACCTCTCCACCTCACTCATCTTCCTTTTTCTCACCTTCACCTCAGTTTTCTTGGTCCTTAAGTAGGTTTTTGGTCAATAGGATTCTTCACCTTACAACCCAATTTCTCCACAATATTTTCTGTCCTGTCTTCTTCCTTTTTGTCAGCCATCAAAACTTCCACCCTATTCATATCTTCCTTATTCTCTATGTATTTATTTTCCTCTAGCTCCTTCCCCATCATTTCTCCCAAATGTTGTTCAGTTAAACCCCAAATTCTTTCTCCCATCTCTTTATCAACTATAGTCTGATCCCCAATTTTAGTGTTAATCTCTTTTGCATCCACGACTGGCGGCAAATAAAGAGGTTGGGAACCTGGAGAATTGGCAAGAGACAGCAAATCCACATTAGTACCCAAAAACAAATTTGTTGCCATACCTAGGGGGGAAGAGAACGGAAAATTTGTTTCCTTTCCTATCACAAGAAGAGGAGGATCATGGTCTTTAATAGGATGGACCTACTGGGAACCAAATTCCTAGAAGGAATTCTCCTGCGATAATCTTCTTGAGCTCTGCGTCTTATCCCTTCCTAGCAAACCTTTATTAAGCCTTTGGTGATCATTAACAGTCTCATTACCGCTACCCTGCTTTGAAATTCTAATTGGAAATGAATCTTCTAAATTTGTAGCAGTGTTTTCTAGCCACCCATTCAAGCAAACTTGGACCTCAAACAAACTATCACTAGATCTTCTATTTCCTTCCCATGCCAAAAGATGGGAAGTGGAAAAAATCGGTGAAACATGGGAAGTGGAAAAAACCGGCTCCGTTGTCTCACCACCAAACAGATGATAGAAGTTGAGATCTTCTATTTACCCTATATCTGTTTATGACTCGACGCTACAGGAATAGACTCTTCCTCGTCTTCAGAGTCGTCTTCCTCTAACACGTCAATGTCAACCCAACCTCCTTCCACTAGTTCCTTTTCCTCTGACATGGTTTTGGTGTACCTTGGGTTAAGTCGATGAGAAGGGACTTTCAACTTGCCATTTCCATCCTTTCTTTGTATAGGAACCCAATGCATAGAGGAACATGAACCAAACTTAGCCGCACTAGAAGCCCTGTTTTGCTTTGTTAAAGGTGATGATAGACCCAAACTTTTGTCCCCTGTAGCAATCGTTTTACTTCCTCCCACGTAACTATTTAATGAGTCACATGGCCCAGAATCCCACTCTGACCTCTTCAATGGGTCGGATCTAGCCACCTCTTGTGTAACCGAAACTCTTGTTGGTCCACAACCCGGATCCGACCTATGTCCAAACTAAACCACTTCTGCGAAAGATTTTTTCTTCACTCCTTTCGGGGCTAATTCAATTTTATTTGAAAAATTACTTAATCTTGTTGCCCCCTTTTATTGATCAGCCAAAAGAGACTGTTCCCCTACCCCTTTCGTCATTTCTTCTCTTTCCTCCATTCTCCTAATGCCACTTGGGAACCACCTTTCCAGCTCATCATCTTCTTCCAGCTCTCGACACCCCTGCCATAGCGTCACTTCGACTGTCGCTGCAAACCACAATCGCCACCATCCACCTTTCACCAAAAGCTCGCATGACCGAGGAATTAAATGTGGCTTCACCCCGGAAATCCTCATCTTCACGGCAAACAAGTTATCGAAGTTGTTGCCTTCAATTTTGCCTCCTAGAGTTGTTGCATCCAACACTTCCACCTTCCAGAGATTAAACGGTAGGCCTGCCACCTTCACAACTACTCTTTGGTCGTTGATTTCTATTTCGTTACATGACATATTCCACCGCTCAAGCAGTGGCAAACCTTCCCCTGTTTTAAGCACTTCCAATTCCATCTTCTCATCTCCGACGTCTAGTATAGCCTTGTTTTTGCAGAAAGGAAGTAACGCAGTCAATGCTTTGATGTGAAGCTCTTTCTTCACTGTCTCTAGAACCCCCTGCCAGTCATTCACCTTTTTCTAAAGAGTAATAACATATCTATTGGTCCAGATTCCTTTCTCTACCTCCATCGCAAGTTTGGTTGTAAATTGTGAGCTCACGACTACTATAGAGATATTTTCTTTTTCGATAGGGTCTGGGATACAAGTTTCGACAGTTTGGCCTTGTTCTTCCACCCCCTGCTATTCTTGCCTTCTAGAAAGCATAACATTTGTTTCCTTCCTCCCCCTGCTATTCTTGCCTTCTAGAAAGCATAACATTTGTTTCCTTCCTCCTTGAAACTCTTCTATAACTGTAACGAACCACACCTCCTGGTTCCATTTGAGGATTGCTTCATATTTCTGGTCCAAGGACAACATCGAACTTCACTAATAGTATAGCTCCATCAACGAAACCTTGTAGCCATTGCATGGCTTCTCCAATCAGGAAAACCGTAGCCGTTCTTCTTCTTCTTCTTCTACCAATATTTTTTATTTCCTTCTTTTCCTATAACAAAAATAAGGGCTCAGCCCCTATATTTTTTGAATTTTATTTTCCTACTTCCTTTTCTTCTCATGAATATGTTGATTTTCTATACTTTAATATGAAATTTATACTTTTCTTATGAAAATCATGAATAATTATTAAAGAATTATGGTTATGGTACCTAGGGAACTACACTAGGATCTATGTTTTTAACATAAAAAAATCCATCGCCTAGGCGACTAGGCGACAAGGCGCCCCAGTCGCCTAGCCTCGCCTTGGCACCTTGAAAACTATGACTGGAAGGCACCAAATGAATTGACTCCTCAAAACTCAAACTTTTAATACTTGAGAACCCAAGCTGGAGCTGAGCTATAGCTCAAATAACAGAGAATGAAAAAATGACCCCACAGAAACAACCCCCCTTCTCTTTTACAAGACTCAATGACATGCTGGAGAAACCAACTAAAATATTTAAACATAAGCCCCTACAATAGTTGGGCCAAGGTGGGAACTTTAGTTGTTTAACTTTCATTCTTCTTCAATAAAATAATAAACCAAGAACCATAATGGGAAGGGGCTATTAGCCCTCCCTTACAGTAATGCCCTTATTTTCTGTTCTAAGATTTAGAATTTCCAAAACCTACTATACCTAATCCTCACATGAAAAAAGGATTTCTTTTCTTTGCAATTCATTACTACACATTTGCAGCAGCAAAGATGCTATTATTATTTGTCTATTCTTGATTTTCAAGAGTTGGTTACTATTTGCTCCCACTTTGTACGCTGCAACCATAGTGTTCTTTCTTTTAAGAAATCCCATTGAATAAAGGTTCAATTTCTTCCTCTCCGCTACTATTTTCTCTTATTTTGTAGACTGCATTGGTGTTATATGTAAAGGCTCAAGACAGAAACAGGTCGCTAGTATGAGCTACACATGTGATTACCTTTCTAGTAGTCTCATTGTTGTTGCCTCGTCCAACACATCCTTGCAATCACTGAGGAAAGCACGAAACTCCCTAATGATAGTTTGGTATTCTGAAGTTCGATTTTCGGTAGCTGTGTCATCTTCCAACAATAGTCTATTGATCTAAAGAAAGAAAATAGGCAACCCAGAAGAAATTTCAGCATCAAGGACAATCTCTCTCTTAAGAAAAATATTAGAGAGGCTATGTAAAGCTGAGATAAAAAAAATCCAATATAGGTATTTTTTATCCATTCTAAAACAAAATGCTACCATCACGAACCAATATTCTTTTGGTGAAAATAAACTAAATGTATGAATTCTTTGTTACATTCACTGATTGAGAACCGTGTTCTACTGCAAAGTAACAGTAAGAAAAGGAAAGCATGATAAGTATAAACTTTTTTTTTCAGGGGGGGGGCGGGTAATACAGATGAGAGCCAAAGGAATTATCTTTAAATGAAATGATCAACAGAAATTTTAGGAATTGAGATAACATCAATTTTGCCTTTTCTCTAATTCATTTATGAGCCAACACATAGAAGAGGATTCAGAGGTGAGCAGAATATAGAAACCTCCAATTCATCTCTTTTCATAACCAAAACCATATTGGACATCATCTAATCCAAGAAAGACCGGCATATAAATTTTCCCTTTCACATATCCATTACAAAACAACTCCTTCTTTCTATCCTTAGACTTTCTACACTGTAATTCACAATGAGAATTTGAAAAATAATTTGCCTTCCCTTCACAAAAGCCTCCTTATAGCAATAATTTGCCTTCCCTCAATGTGAAAATGCCCTGCTTTTTGGGAATAAATGCTATAAATGTGGCATTTTCTCCTTTATTAAATTTTCCATATCATGAAATTTATCAAAAACATCTATTAAAGCTCCTTTAATTGTTTCTCATCATTATTGGTGGAACACATGGAAAAATCATCCATGCTTAGGGCTTTGGTTATTCTTAAGAGGTGCAACTAGAGTGAGGTTGGGTTAGGAGTGTTTTAATTTTTCAATGGGCCTGAATCCCAACCCAAACCCAATTTATTTGAAATTATTCAAGTCAGGCAACCAGGCTTGCAGCCCTAATTATTCTGCTCCACTTACCTCCTTTTGTTAAACAGTCTTTCTAACCATAGTTTCAATATAGATGGACATTTTGCCATACAGAAATGGGAAAATTTTGCAGAGATTCCACTAATTTTGCCAAGATATTTAGGAAACCTAAAGAAATTAGGGAAAATTACTAAAAACATGGAAGCTGTTCATGAAAGATGGTTGTTGGAAGAAGAATAGTTGAACATTTAAGACTGAAAAACTGTAGCAAACAATTGTATATATCAAAGAAGGAAGGATTAAGAGACTTGAAAAGGTATCACTCAATCTGTCTCCATCTTTTATTCTGTATACATGACATTGACTTGCTATTTTGATTTCTTTCTTTTTTGTAACTATATGTTTTGACTAAATTGAGAATCCTCTTTTTCATTTTTGTATCCCCCCCTATTCAAATTATAGTGACTCAGTAACCAAAAATGTTCAATGATTTTAACAAAATCCCCATTTGTTCTTTCAGAAAAAGATTTCTAAAAATGTTCAATAATGTTAACAAAATATAATAAAATTTTGACAATACTCTAAAATTTGGAACTTAGATGTTTGATTTATCAATGAAATTTGAAATATTCCTGATATATCAACAATATTGGAGACATAAGGCAAAAGGATTCTTAGAATTTTTCGTATTGTCCTTATCAGAATTGAGAGGTTTCACCAAATCTTGCCAATATTGTGAACCATGTTTCTAACCAATCAACCAGCCTATGAGAAATATGGCTCCATTCAAGTTCAGTAACACATCTATAATGTTAACTGGTCGCACAATTTTTTAAGTCATTCACAAAAGACCTTAGCAATCTCCACCATATTCTCCTCTTGAACAACCAATGAAAGTAGGTGTGAGCTGAAAAAAATTAAAAGTAGACTCCTGTTAAAAAGTCTTCCATAGCCACCAGGCCCACAACTTTTTTTTTTAATAAATGATGAGGATTTTATAAAAAATAATAAAGGAGTTACAAAAACCACAATTAAACAGAGGCGTGAGATGCAGCCCCTGTTACATGAACTGAATTACAATTGAGCCACAAACAATTCAGACTTATGCACCCCCTGTTTTATAAAAAAAAAATCAGCTAACCCATTTGCTGACTGCCTGTCCCATTGAATAATGGTTATCATATCCCTAATTAGCCATTTAAATCTTTTCATAAAATCCCTATATTTCCAAACCACAGTTTCTGGTTCCTTCATCCACCCTAATACCAATTTGTGAAACTGGAATTACAATAAATATGTAAATACATATTTTCCCATATCATGGATTTAGCAATGATATAAAAAGAATCTTCCAGGGGGAAACAAGATTGACTTATTACACAATGGTTATCATATCTCTAATAGAGCAGATCATCATACATTTTTTGCTTATGAAAACCTTTTTATAAATATTGGGGCTGTAAACTGTAAATTCCCTGTTTACAGCCCTTATCTCTTCTCATAAAAATGTCTAAAACAGACAAAGAAGAAGACCTTGTCCAAGTATAACTCAGTAGCCCATGTGGAAATCATCGTTACTTGGCATTTATCATCCTTAGTAAGATTATCAAGCTTCCGGAGTAAGAAAGTCCTCAGAGCATCCTTCAAGGAAAACAAACAAGACAAGAATGAACATTGGAAAAAAAAGTAATAAAAAGGTTGAAGTTGTGAACCAAAGCAGGGTACTACATGCATACAGATTTTACTATTTCATTATATGATAATCCAACCATATAAATCAAAAGCCCTAAATCTGCAATAATAAGAATATGCACTTAAATATGGAAACCAGACACCAGACATCTATGTTGGATTCAATGTACCTATTTTAGGTACTATCAGTTCTAAAGACAAATGCCTTGATAAATTTCAAAATGATAGTTGGGGTCTACATTGGGTAATGGCCTTTTCGATGGAACAGGAAAGACACACATGAAATGTTAAAAAAAAATCAAATGGGTAATTTACAAATAATGAACAAATGAAAGAAACAATTCTAGAAGAAACTACTATTTTATTCTAGAATGACAATTAGGTTAAAGCAACTCGTGCTTGAATTTGAACCAAATAGAGAACATCAGTTTTTCTCTAGCAAAAAAAAATACTTTGATAAATGGAAAAATGAAAAAAACAAAACCTTCAAAAGCTACACTTATAAACTCCAGATGGTCCAAAAGARGCATCAATGGACAGGCCAACAGCAAACCATACAGGTAGCTTTGGTTCAAAGCATACCTGGTACTATGATTAGACTGACTCATGAAAGTGAGACTTCATAGAATGCCATACACAGAAAACAAGAAATTTGCTGCTACTTCAGATGTCATTCCAGTTCCAATTTAGACACTCGAGAACATTAAAACGGATTCACTAAAAACTTGCAAATTTCAGATTCCATTTATCAATTGGATATTCCTATAATACTTCTAGCAAAGCTGTTTAACAATAGCTAATTGCTCTGCCTAAAATTTGATAACTTCTTTTATAGGATCCTCTAGAAGCAAGAGATAATGATCAATTTTTCTATGTCTATACCAAAATAATAGCAAACATCATTGGCTAAACATAAAAGAAGCAAAGAACACAATACATACCTGTTCCCCAACACCAATAAACTTCAATGTGATCTCTTCAAACGATAATATGTAATTGATCTGAAAAATGGACAAGAAATGAGAATCAGTACTCATCATCTAAGAAGTTTTCCATTGTAGGTTGAAGTCCATGTCACTCCAAAATGGTAGTAGTTAGAAAATAAGCCCTATGTTTAGCATTTAACAATATATACAAAAGTAGAGAAGCAACTTCATTTTAAGTATATCTGTAGAATCTTTGGATCATAATGACCAGGGGTATCTAATTTTTTACTGTATTCATCTAAGATGCCTATTGTTCTTTCACTCCAAATCATGGTGCTGTCCTTTCTCTTCTGTTTCATCTTCCCTTTTATTCATTACTTCTTACTGTTTACTTGTTCTATACATATAAGTTAAACATGAAATCTGGTTTACATCACAGCATATAAGTTCTTACTATTTATTGAAGATTTTTTGAAGTTTTCTTTTGGACAGTTTTTTCATGCACAGAAATTACCCTAGACATCTATCTTCCACAAAAACCAGAAAAAAATAAACAGAGTTTGATTGTTCAAGAGATCAAAGAAGGTTGGCACCATGTTAGATCTTAACCTCTGGCATACTTTTTAAACTACTGAATCAAAGGAGATTCTGAGGTGTAGGGAGAAAGTAGCTTCTTCTTCTAAGGTTTTATTTTAACACTGACCCAATATTTTGATCTCTATTGCTGCAACCAAGTCTGGTGAATTCTTTTAGGGTTTTTGGATGAGCCCAAAAAGAAAAGAGGGAAGAAGAATAAAGAAAGGAAAAAAAAAAAAAGAGAAATGTGAAAACATTCTAAATTTGTATGTTTTTTGTAGTAGGATCCCAAATTATTGTTTTTGGGTTGATTTGTTGATAGTTTAGGTCCAGGGGTATTTGCGTCATTTTCATAATTCGGATTTTGGTCAGGGGAAGTTGGGTGAACATCTATTGGGTTTTGGTCTCTTAGGTTATCTTTTGGGGGCTTGTTTGTAGTTAGTTTTGTTCTCAAGGAATTGTTTGTGAAGGGGGAACATTCTAGGGGCTTATGTGTAAATATATTAGTTGGCTTCTCTATCAAGGCATCGAGTCCTGTAAAAGAGAAAGGGGCTGTTTCTGTGGGGATCTTTCTCTGGTTCTTTATCTCTTGTTTGAGTTGTAGCTCAGCCCCAACTAGGGATTTCATGTATTAGGAGCTTGGGTTTTGAGGAGTTGACCTATTTTGGTGCCTTCCAATCCCTCTATCTTTGTGCATCCACGCGAGAGGCCAACTAGACGATGCATTTAGTAGAACTGTAGAATATTTCACTTGGTGACTACAATTTCTACTAATGTTGTGGGATTCAGCTAAATCAAAGAACAATACCAAGATGACCTTTATTTTGACCCTATTTGTCAAAGCTATGCCAGGAGGTGACAAGGATATTTGAGCCAAGTTTGTGTAGAATGATGATTACCAATTCATGGACAATAGGTTATGTATTCCATCAAGGTCTTTAAGAATATTACTCATTGTCGGTTTATACTGCAAGGGACATTTTGACCACAAGACACTTGAAATAGTCTCCAACAGATACTTTTGGTCAGGGCAACAAAAGGATGTGTTCTACTATGTTAATAGGTGTCACAAGTGCCAAACATCTAAGGAACAACATCAAAATACAGGTTTGTATCTTCCCTTCCCATACCAAAAGCACCGTAGACTGATATTATTATGGATTTTGTGTTAAGGAGTTTAGTAGGAAACTACTTGAAGCAATGGGATCTTATCCTATCACAAGCTGGGTTTTCCTTCAATGATTCAATTAACAACTCTACAGGGAAGAATCCTTTTGAGGTTGTGTATGGTCAGTCACCTAAAGGTGCTGTTGATCTATTCCTATAATAGGGTTGCGACAAGTGAGTGATGATGTCAAGGCTTTAGCAGAATCCATACAAGAGATTCAAGAAAATGTTCAACCGAAGTTGAAAGAAAACAACCCAAGGTATAAAGGGTTTCATGAGGGCGACCTAGTCATGGTTTATTTGTGTCCTGAAAAAGATTGGCCCATGTCAAGTGTTGAGAAAGTTTGGGGACAATGCATACAAAATTGAACTACCAGCTGGTTTGTTCATTTCACCCATTTTTAATGTAGCAGACCTCTATGATTAACATGGAGGTCTAGAACCAACAACAAAGGTTGATCAAGGACAGGCACAAAGGGCCAACGGTTCTAATAACCAACACTGGAAATGGAGCCTATTTTAGGTTCTTAGTCAAGTGGAAAGGGAAAACAACAATTGAGAACTCTTGGACTAGTGAAGAGTTTATGAAGCTAGATGGAGACATGTGCAAGGCTGCTAAAATTGCTGCTCGCATGGGGTCGAGCTCTTGGTTAGCTTTGTTGACAGCTTGGATCCAAGGGTATTTTTGTCATTTTCATAAATCAAATTCTGATCAGGGACATGTGGGTGAACATCTATTGGGTTTTGGTCTCCTAGGCCTTTTTAGAAATTGTTTGTGAAGGGGGAACATTCTAAGGGATTAAGTGTAAATACTTTAGTTGGCTTCTCCAGCAAGCCATTGAGTCTTATAAAAGAGAAAGGGGCTGTTTTTGTAGGGGGAACATTCTCCCTTGTTTGAACTTAGCTCAGCCCCAACTAGGGCTTTCAAGTATTGAGAGCTTGGGTTTTGAGGAGTCAACCCATTTTGGCGCTTTCCAATCCCTCTATCACTCAATGTCTGTGTGAGAGGCCAACTTGACGCAGCATTGCTATATATACTTGGAAATGGTTCACAGAGAGGACCTTTGACCATTTCCAAGCTTGAAAGGAATGAATAGATCAAAGTCAACTTGATTTTTATGAGTTATGACACCTTTGCAGATACTATGACCGTACAAGGTTGAAGGCAGCCTAGAGAACCAGTCCCTCCCATCATAACCATACTTGCTCTAATCTTCTTCCAAAGCTCATTCTTCTTAGTTCTGAAATGCCACAACCACTTGCTCAAGAGGGCTTTATTTAGCTGCTTTAGGGGTCTAATTCCCAAGCCCCCTCTGTCTTTTGCCAAATAAAACTTTTTCTCTTCATGGAATCCATCGCACAAGAAGTCACGTCAAAGCTTCTCAAGGAGATTGATAACTGAGGTAGGAGCCAAAATAAAGAAAATAAATATACTGGAAGATTTGAAGAGTGCTTCGGATTAGAGTTACTTTCCCACCTTTTTAAGTGTCGCTTTTCCAAACAGCAAGCTTTCACTAGAATCCCTCAATCACCAAATTCCAGATTTCATTTTATTATATGCCCCACTATGTGTGTTTGATCTTTTCTGTCATAAATAAGAGATTCTAGCTATTGCTTGAATTTATTGAGTTCTCTTATCACTAAGGCAACATACCAGGCAGTTCCTAAATGATTATACACCATTCAACACAATAATAAGATAAATAAATATATAATATGCACATTATTACTCCCAAGCTTTTTTAGTAAGGAATGCATTAAACATGATTACTTATCAACTAGTATCATCAATTTCAATTTCACAAACCACTTAAAGACAGAGATACAGAGAGCCTTGTAACATCTGACAGAATTTGATTACCAATGTAAGCAAAGTATACAAGCTAATCTCTTGTTAATAAGAAATGACCATAGTATAATGGTTGAACTACTTTACATTAAATAGCAAGTGGTGCAAAACACTACAAGAAACATACAGGGCTCTTACAAGTTAACCAAGAGGTTGTTAATAATTAACATAAATAATGGAACAGAAGCTCAATATCTTAATGTAAAAAATGAATGTTTTGAAGCCTAATGCATGAACATAATTAAACTAAAAAAGTGAAGTACTCACTTTTGCAAAAAATGATGCTGCTCTAACAAAGTCTTTTGAGGAGAAAGCAGTTTCAGCCTGTAACAGAAATCATATTTATCATACACTGCCAAAAGACCACATAAAGTGTACAAATAACATATTAAGGTGGGACTTTGGACAACCGAGTTATGAATGATAACCAAGAAATCAAGGTGGGACTTTGGACTTTATATGCCCTTTAAACATTGAGAATGTGCACTTGGCTATAGGGTATTGTTGTCTTTTCCTATTATTTGTATTTTGCATCCTTATAGGGACATATGACTGTAATTTCTGACTTAATATATAATGAAATATTCTGGGTGTGAACAGTAACACCCTATTCTCTCCCATAACTCTTCTTCTTCTTCCAAACTCCCAAACTCAAGAAGTCTTGGACTAGGTTCCTCTACCAACTCCCAAACTCAAGAAGACCTGCTGATGTCAGACCACCACCGGATGATGTCAGCAGTCCATACAAGTACCGGCAGCAACCCTTGAATCTGATATACTCTGATGCGACCTGATTTTAGGGTTATTGTGGTATGGTTCTTATCTTCATCTGATGTGTCTATGATTTTTCCCAAATTGTACGATCAAAAATTGAAGAAAAATACTGGTTCGATGTTTGGATTTTTTCTTCCTTGTCTAAGTTCGACGCATGCTTGAAACTTGTTGGTTTTGGTTTATTTGGCATCGCTAAAGGTATGGGAGGTGGTTCCAAATCCTTATAACCTCTAATCTTTCTACGGGAGGTCTTTTTTCCTTACTATATTGCCGCCAGTACATTATTGTTTCATGTTGATATTGGTATCTTTCTGTGAAATTACCCCTTAAACTGGACACTTATGAGACTCGTGTTAGTTTAGAATGTTTTCAACCATTGGATAGACTTGGGGAGTTTATCCTACCAAGGCAGACACTGATGTGCTACCAAAGAAGTTGGGAAAGCTTGTCTCAACTTTTAGGGTTAGACCCAAAGCACATGCAGTGTGTATTTGGTTGAAACACTGAACCTGAACCCTTTTCCAATTATGCCCTGGACCTTGGAGATTGATGGGCAAAATTGAAAAGTTACACAACCCCTAGACTTGATTATGGTACTGCACTAGGTGTTGGATTGGGTCGTCTTTGATATGCCAATCAGTGAGATCCACTGAGGGTCAAAACCCAGGCATGTTGGGGCAGTTTGAGAATTCATCTAAGTGGGTGATCATAGTGATAGGATCGGCCCCTTTGTTGGACAAAGTGAATGATAGGGCTTACAGTCTCTCTGATGGAAACCTGAACTGTCGGTAGTGAATTTCAACTATGTTTGAGATTTGGTTTTGCAAAACATATTCGTATGATCTATATATTATGGGCCGAGAGGTTAAGTGTAAGAGACCATTAAGAGTTGATTACCTGATAGGCTTTATCTTACTTAAGTCCATTATCCTCGGGTCTTCATAGGATGGTTGAATTTAATGATCATTAAGTCTAAATGTTGGGCCCATATTGAGCCCATAGTGATGTGCTCAGGGGTTCATTGCGTTTAGTAGTGAATTCGGCCAAGCCTTTTCACAAAGGCTAGGTCGAACCCAAGTGGACTTATGTGAGGTCATTGTGGGGTCCCACGCCATACAAATCAAGCCTGCATTAGCCAAATAACACCCTTGGGTCGTAAGCCTTATAGCTAATGAGCCTAAGGCCCATAATTAATAAGATTAAGCTGTCACATGACAATTTGTCATGTTCTCTGGGTCGAATCTGGGTTTGGAAATGGGTATGGAGCACCCATCCTCTTAAGAGGATAACGCTTATCTCTTAATAGAGTCCAGATCCAAATTAGATTTGGATAATCTCCTAATTTGATTAGGAGAAGTGCTCCATAAATAGATAAAAGAGGAAGAGGGCGAACTAGACTAGAAGATCACTCTCTCTTGTTCTCTCCTCTCTTTTGTCCTCCAAGAAACCCTATCATGACCTAGGCTTTCAAGGACTTATAGAGATCAGTTTTCTTATGATTTTTTGCAAGAAAATTTCARAGGAACTTCAGGCTCACCTTCCCCAGTTCGATCCAAGTAGTTGGGTTGCAGTTTTACTAAAAATTGTGTTGATGAATTAGCTTCACCTACACATTGTGCCATCTTTCGTGGAGGCTGGTTTTAGGATTGATTTGGACATGAACTTCAACCTTGGGATATGCATTTGTGGTATCCGTATCAGGTATAAATCTCCCTCTTTGATTGGTTTCAAATCTGGTCCGATTCAGTGCAAGACCAATCTTGAAAAATGCAGTTTTTCAAAAGATAGGGAATTCGATTCCCAGAAGGATTAAGAAATTTTTGAAATTTCGCCCAGCCATCTAACATGGTTCGGCCATCCATATGATGCATCCTAACCCTTCCAATATACAGTTGGTAAATCCTAATAGTGTTGTCTTGTCTAGAATAAAGCTTCCTTGCATGATCCCAGACCTCCTTGGTTGTATCTAAAAACATGAAGTTCACACTGACTTTGGGTTCCATACTGTTCCATAGCCATGTCATGATTTGTGCATCCTCTTGCTCCCACTCATCATATCCCTGAGAATCAGTTGGGGGTTTATCTTCCCTCACATGCTTTACTTTCTTCTTAGCTTTTAGAAAAACTTCAACAGATTTAGCCCAAGGCATATAACTCTCACCATACAATTTTATAGATGTCATCTGCACATTCAAATAATAAGAAGGAACCATCACAATGCACTTGCATTCACTGCTGTCTCCTATGACTGCACAAGGAAAAAGGGAGAAATTTTACCAATAGTTTGTCACTCTACTTCACTAATTAGTCACCATACTACACACCACCGACTGATTACTACTAGGGTACCTACTATCATAGGTTTCAGCAACACTCACAATTGTTCACCACTTTTAGCAACAACACCACTGCTGTCTTCCACTTTCAGCAACATAAACCCTCACAATACACCTCACGAACAGGAAATTTTTTTTATTTTTGCGAAACTCCTAGCTATCAACGAGAATTGTGCAAAACCCTAAGAGAGCATGCGCTGAATAGAGGGAGAAAAAGAAGGTTGATCTGAACTAGTTATCGTGGCTCTGATACCATGATAGAATTCAGATATAGTGTCCGCAATTTTTCAGAAAATAATAATAACAAGAAGAAGAAGAAGAAGAGGAGAGAAAACTGTTCTAGTCAAACTAGAGCGAAAAATTTGTCTTCTCTAGTCGGCCAGACTTTATTTATATCTTTCTAAACAAATCAGAATTACTCTTATGCCCTCACTTAAGTGAGAGACACATCAGCTAACTTAAGATCTACTCATAATTACATTTAACATACAACTTAATGTAAAAATCCTATACTACCCTTCTACAGCCGACTCTAACAAAGATAATACGGTTTGACAATGCTAAGGAGCATCTTGAAAAGCATTTGCAATTATTCCTGGAAAGAAAGGGAGCAATTCATCAAAGTTCATGTTCTCATAGTCCGCAACAGAATGGTGTAGCAGAGAGAAAAAAAACAGACATGTTGTTGAGGTGGCAAGAGGCCTTCTCTTCTAGATGAATATACCAACTCGATTCTGGGGAGATGCAATTGAAGTAGTAGTGTATCTCATTAATAGACTTCCTTCACAATCCCTTTCTCTTCAATCCCCTCATCAACTTTTGTTTCCTAAGGATCCTATTTTCAGTTTGCCTCTCAGTCTTTGGTTGTAGTTACTTCGTTCATGACATGAGTCCTGGCCTAAAACTTGACCATAAATCTGTCAAATGAATATTTTTGGGCTACTCTCCAATCCAAAAGGGGTACAAGTGCTTTGAACCCCATACTGGCCAAAGGTACGTATCTAAGGATGTTACATTCCTTGAGTCTACTCCATATTTTCAATCCACCCGTCCTTTTCTTCAGGGGGAGAGTGTTTGTGAAGATCGAACTCCTTTTTGTTTTCCTGTTCCTACCTCTATGGACATCCCTAGTTCGTCTTCCCCTTGTAGTAACAGTATTCCTACTCCTCCTCCTATTCCTCTCCAACGGTCCTGGCAATAGTGGTTTATAAGGCATAGAAGGAAGGATACCCCTGAGGCAGAATGTCCACAACAATCGAATCACTCGGTTCCAGGTAACTCTGAAAAGCAACCCTGAACTTCCTTCTCCTACTTTTATTGAGCTTGATGTCTCACAATCTGACCTTGACCTTCCCAATGCAGTTAGAAAAGGAAAAAGGAAATGTACTGCCTACCCCATCACCAACTATGTTTCTTATGATGCTCTTTCACCTTCCTATCATGCCTATGTTACTGCTRWCTCCTTTGTTTCTGTTCCTCTTAATGTTTCAGATGCAATTCAGTCATCTCAGTGGAATGATGCTATGAACCAAGAGATAGAGGCTCTCTTAAAAGACCACACCTGGGAGTTTGTTCCTCTTCCTAAAGGCAAAGTCCCAGTGGGCTACAAGTGGGTGTATACCATTAAACATTGGGTTGATAGATCAATTGAAAGATACAAAGCTAGGTTGGTGGCAAAAGGATACACCCAAACATATGGGATTGACTATCAAGAGACCTTTGCTCTTGTAGCCAACTCTGTCCAAGTTATTATGTCTCTCACTGCTCATTATTCATGGCCTCTATATCAAATGGATGTCAAGAAGGCCTTCCTAAATGAAGATCTTCAGGAGGAGGTATACATGGATTTACCACCAAGGTTAATCTTACCCAATAGAGGGGAAGGCTTGTCATTTAAGAAAGTCTCTTTATGGGCTTAAATAGTCCCCTAGAGCTTGGTTTTATAGATTCACGAAAACTATTCTCAAAATTGGGTTTACACAATCACAAGTGGACCATACTTTGTTTATACAAAGGGTTAATGGCCTACTCACCTTGTTGGTAGTGTATGTGGATGATATTGTTGTCACCATGGTTTAAAGTATCGATACGATACGCCTCGTATCGGGCATATCGTATCGTATCTTTTGAAAAAGATATGCTCCAAAGTGTTTCGGAACCCCAACGTTTTTTAATAAAAAAACATGTTTTTAGCTTCCCAAAAACCAAAATTTGAAAAAAAAACTAAAAAAGAGAGTTTCGGGCATTTCTAAGTACCGATACGATACTATCGATACGCGTATCATATCGATACTTTGAACATTGGTTGTCACTAGAGATGATCACTCTGGGATAAACCAATTAAAGTCATTCCTTGCTTTTGAATTTGAAATCAAAGATCTTAGGAACCTCATATTCTTTCTTGGAATCGAAGTGGCAAGGTCAAAGGGAGGGATATTCATTTCACAGAGGAAGTATGTCCTTGATCTCCTTCATGAGGTTGGGAAACTGGGGTATAAGCCAGTTGAAACTCCTATTGACCCCAACCATAAACTGAGTGTTGATGATGGAGATATTCTTCCAGACAAGGGTGTCTACCAAAGGCTTGTTGGTCGGCTTCTTTACTTGTGCCTGACTCGACCTGATATATCCTATGTTGTTAGCATGGTGAGTCAGTATATGCACAGTCCAAGAAATTCACATATGCAGGCTGTCAACAAGATTCTTGCCTACCTAAAGGGGTGTGCAGGTAAAGGAATGTTATACTCTAACCAGGAACATCTCAAGGTTGAAGCTTATACTGATGCTGATTGGGCAGGTTCTATAGATAATAGAAGATCCACCTTCGGTTACTACACCTTGATAGGAGGTAATGTTGTGTCTTGGAAAAGCAAAAAACAATCTGTTGTTGCCCGATCCAGTGCTGAAGTTTAATATAGAGATATGGCTCATGGTGTATTGGAGTTGCTATGGTTTAAGTCTTTGTTATCAAAAATTGGGATCCAAGATGAAACCCCAATGATGTTGCACTGTGATAATCAAGCTGCCATAAACATTGCTCATAACCTTGTTCAACATGACTGCACAAAGCATATTGAAGTTGATAGACACTTCATTAGAGAAAAGATAGCTAATGGAGAAATATGTGTGCCTTTTGTTAGGTCAGAGAACCAACTTGCTGATTGCCTCACTAAGGGTCTCAACAAGCCAAAACTTGATAGAAACTTCAGCAAGCTGGGCATTATAGATATTTAATTATCTATGCTCAGCTTGAGAGGGAGTGTTGAGAATGTCAATTTGGCTTTAGGGGTATTGTTGTCTTTTCCTATCATTTCTATTTTGGGAGCCCTTATAGGGACATGACTATAATTTCTGACTTAATATATAATGAAATATTCTAGGTGGGAACAGTAACACCCTATTCTCTCCCGTAACTCATCTTCTTCTTCCTCTTCTCTTCTCCTCTTCTTCTTTCCTCCTCTTCCTCTTCCTATACTTGACAACTAAACAATTCCTTAAAATTATAAAGTACATAAATACATGCAAAACATGTTCTTTACTTATAGAGTAGAAAAGAAAAGAAAGAACACCTAGGTTGCATCAAGCACAACATTAATTTTATTCACAACCATGTTCCATTACCTGTACTAGATATACTTGGTCTCTCTGTAATGGATCCCGACAATGAGCTAAAGCTGAAGCAAACTCCTTCATGTCTAGGTAAACCTGCCACATGTCTCGGCCTTCATCACGGACGGACACCTGCAGTATGCACAGATTCAGCAGGTTGAAGTTTTATAGCTGGCAATGCAACATAAAAACAAATGAACAGAAGAAAAAAAATAACTTTTTAGAATATACAAACCTGGAAGACAGAGTTTTGGTCATAAGCATAGAACAATCCCGCAGAGGCATCACTACATAATCCAATAACCCCACCTGAAACCGGTTCTGATGCATGATCAAAAAACAACTCCTCTATGATCTGTTCACTAATTCTATTCACAACCTACATAATATTAAAAGATCATATTAAACAAGAGCTATCAAAAAAATTACTTTTTATCAGCAATACAATGAAAATTTCATTCATTAACGTTGAGGATTTTGTGCAGTTTTGTTAGTTAATTTTGTTCATTATTTGTTTAGATAGGAGTGGGGACCACAGCACGCTTGTTGGGACCCTTTAGAGGATAGTTTTCAAGGCGCCAAGGCAACGCCAGGCAACAGGGGGTGCCTTGTCGCTTAGGCGATGGATTTTTTAAGTAAAAACATGTATCCTAGGGTAGTTCCCTAGGTTCCATAATCATATTTCCTTAATAAATATCCATAATTTTCATAAGAAAAGTATAAATTTCATGTTAAAATATAGAAAATCAAAAAATATAGGGGCTGAACCCCTATTTCTTCTATAGGAAAAGAAGAAAAGAAAAGGTGGAAGAAGAAGAAGAAGAAGAAGAAATTAGTATATACACACACAATTAGTAAAGAAAAAAGAAGAAAATGTGTTGATTGGACAACATTTTATGTTCTTCCTTACTTATTGGTTCAGGTTTTGAAGTCCTTGAGGGTTCAATACAGCATTTAGCAATGTTTGTGTTGATTTAACCCTAACAAATAAGAAAATAATAAAAAGGAATTAGTATATAAACACACACACTGAATATTTTAATTTAAAAATGTCTATTTTATAATTATAACATCAAATAAATTAAGAATTTAAAGGTTTTTTACAACACGCTATAGAAAACTGCTTGGCGATTAGGTGAGGCAAGCCTCCAAGGGCGCCTTGCCGCCTTGACAACTATGCTTTAGAGTGATGTTTCTAAGTTTTTTATTGAGTTTTTTGTGTTAACCACCCCATAAGAGCATATTAGATGGCGGCCAGATCTGAATATCTGATTTGCTCTCTCTTTCTTTCTCAACCTCTTCTTTTCTCCTCTTATTCCACAAGAAACACTTCTTTTCTTTTCTTCTTTACAGATTTTTTTTATTCAACAGATTTCTACTTGGTATCAAAGCAAGGCTAGGGTTTCTTGGAGTTCGCCCATGCAGTCCTAGATTATCCGACTACATGAAGAGATAAAGGGCTGATCGATCTACTTCAGATTCCCATGTCTTGGATTTTTTGGTGGGTTTCATTCATCAAGAAGGTGATCTCTACTTTGGCATCAAAATCAAGAACCGGAGTGCAGGGAAGAGTCCTAGTCAAGTTGGACTCTTCAATTTTGACTTGGTGTTGGGTGCTTAGACTTTTCTAGACTCCTCTAGGTTTTTGGCTCTTTCTAAGCCTCCTAGAGAGATCGATTCACTGTTTTCTCTTCTCCGATCTTCTCGCACAACTCTCAAGAAGGGAGATTTCTCTCCCGGTAGGTTTTTACTCCCTCGGAAAGGTTTTCCACCCCTATTTGTGAGATCGATCTTATCCTGGAGGCTTTCTACCTAGTTACTTTTTACTTTTGAACTGATTAAACTAAAATAAAGGATTGAAGTACTAAGTAGAAGTCAGTTGGTGACCTAGGTCTAGGTATAGGAAGTACCAGTGATCCTTTTGGATCTAGGATTATTACCACAATGAAATCGGATAGTACAAATTATTTAGAATGGGCCCAATCAGCCAAGATGGCTATTGGGGTACATCACCAAAGAGGAAAAGCCTGATATAGATTCCTCCCAGTGGGTACAAAAAAATTACATGGTGATGTCTTGGCTATGTAATTCCATGTTACCACACATTGGTAAAAAATTTTTGTGGGCTAATACTACAAAAGAAATTTGGGATGGAGTGACTGCGACCTATTCCTAGAAACAAAATGTAGCCAGAACCTATCAATTGAGGAATCAAGTGATTAATACAAAATAGGGAGATAGACCTCTTGTTATGTATTTCTCCATACTAAAAACAAGCAGGAGATAGATCATTTAGAGATTGTGGTTTGGGAGAGTACGAAGGATGCAACAACCTATCAGAAGTTGGTGGAGAAGAACAGGGTCTTTGAGTTCTTGGCTAGACTGAACCCTGAATTTGATATTGTCAGGCAATACATCCTTTCCAGGGAAAGTATGACTCTTTCTCAAACTTATGCTTTTGTAACCGGAGAGGAGGCTAGGAGAAATGTCATGTTGAGATAGTCTAGGATTGACCAGTCAGCTAATGGTTAGTACAGTCAAACCTAAGCCAAATGGAGATAGAGGGAGTAGTGAGATCAGGAGGGAGGATAAGGACTTGGTGTGTGACTACTACAAGAAGCCTAAGCATACCGGAGTGTTATGGACACAGACACCTGTTGGAAGCTCCACCCACATCTCATAACAGCTTGGGTCAAGAACAAGAAGGGAAATGCAAATGTGGCAATTACTAGAGGCTCATCAGGACCTCTTACCCAAGCTGACTTGGAATCCATTGTAGTGTACGTTGTCATAACTAAATTGGATTAGTATGGGCAACTTATGAGTAAGAATGATTTGGTGGGTTCTAGTTCTTTAGGCGGGCAGCAAAGTGCAGGAAATCTAGGAGCCATTTATACTACTTCTTTTGCTCATATAGGTAGTTCATATGTGGTTGCAAACTATGCATCCACCTCAAGTAAGGAGGGACCTCCCTAGATTATAGACTCAGGAGCATCTGAGCACATGACTAATATGTCTACCATTTTCACTTCTTACCAGTTGTGTTCTGGTAGAGATAAAGTCTCTACAACAAATGGTTCTCTTATTCCCATTGCTGGGAAAGGGACAGTTAGGGTGACTAATGGCATTACTTTGTTCTCTGCCTTACATGTTCCTAAACTTAACAATAATCTTCTTTCTGTAAGTAGTCTGACAAAAATTTTGAAATTTTCAATGACTTTTCTTTTTGGTAATTGTGTTTTTTTTCTAGTTATTTTTGGTAATTGTGTTTTTTGCAAGATCTAGAGTAAAAGAGGACAATTGGGAGTGGTCGTGAGATGAACAGAGTCTACCTTCTAGATGTTCCAAGACATCAAAGCCACCATGTTAATAGCAATAGTAGTGGGTGAGATTCAGTGAGCCAAATTATTCTTTGGCATATTGTTTGAGTCATCTTTCCTTCAGTTTATTAAGATGTTTGTTTCCAAAATTGTTCAAGCCTATTCAATTATCTAGTCTAGAGTGTGAAAGTTGTCAATTGGGAAAGCAATGTAGACATTCTTTTAAACCAAGTAATAAAAGAAATTCTTCTGCTTTTGATATTGTTCACAATGATGTATGGGGACTAGGGATGTAAACGGATCGAATTAGAATCGGATCAGGCAATAATTTATATATTTATATACTTTATATCAATAAAAAATATTTATTTTATATATTTATTAATTATCTAAAATAATTAATAAATCGAGTTCGAATCGAATCAAATATTCGAATATTTAATTAGACTCAAATTCGGATATTAATTTTCAATATCCGTCGGATATTGAAAATGTGCTCATTGAAACAAAGCTAGGAAGCTCAAAATGTGTTTATGTCCATACCTTAACCTTATCCCCAATAAGAAGCAGAAAATGAAACTCAGACACTGCAAGGGACTTGGGCCTGATTGCTTCAGTGCCTTCATTCAATTTGAAATAGGCCAACAGAGCCTTATTCTCCACAAAATTTTCATCTCCATTGGGTGAACTACTTGAGATATCCAGGAGGGGTAAATGAGAGAAACAAAAGAATGAAACAAAAATATAGGTCAGAACAAAATAACCACTGATAACAATAATAATAACCAATAAATAATGATAGTGAAGTAGGTAGGGAAGTATTTCTAGAGTAACAAAGGAAAAAAACGATAAACAAGTGAAATGGTTTACCTATGTTGTGCTCCAAAATTTAAGTCACCATGATAAATGCCAGTTCCAGAAAGCCATGCAAAATGTTCCGCTCTTTTTTGCTTGATAAAGAAATGCAGTTCACTACAAGTAAACACAGAGAGCAAACCTCAATCCTTTGTTCTTTTTCTTAGGGTGTAACCAACCAGAAAAAAGATCATAGGGGAGTTTATAGTTCAAAAGTGAAAACAAAAGATATCTAACAAGATTTTTTATCAGTAGCAGTAAAATTTTATTTTAGTATGTATAAAGAATAATAAACAGCAGTGTGTCAAGTACCGCATATTGTTAGCTAGCCTTGGCTATCCACATATATTAGAACAGAAGAAAATGATATCTAACAAGATTCACAATCCAAACCGAAAATGGCCTGCACTCGATCCTTCATCCAAAGTAATTACAATATCTTCAACTAGTGTACTCTAAAATAATGAGTTACTGAATAATATTGGCATAATATGGATAAACAAGCAAGCACTTGAGAAAGCAACTAGAGCAGGGGTGAAAAATGACAACTTCTTGCGTATGGATGTGTATTTGCAGTCTACAAGATTACATCACCACCAATTCCATTTCTTTTCAATTTATACAATATTGTACACAAGCAAGGAACAACAAATGCCTGGAAAACAAGCTCCATAGACCTGAGGTCCTGGACAACTAGATGTCAACCCTAGTTGTCATGAATCCCAACTATGTGGGACTTTTTTTGATAATTAATCCCAACTATATGGGATTGGCTACACAGATCCTGTTTCACCATTCAGTTCTATTTATTTCCCTATCCATTGTTAAATTATGAACAATTGAATCATTTCTTACAGTTTCAACCTATTCCCTTTTTTGGTCTGCCCATAGCCCTTCTAGCCCCTTCAACTTGCAACAGATTGCTTCTTCTAACAAGTGCTATAGACGGTCTTCTATTTCTTTTTTTTGGTTAATAAAACAAATTTATTAAAAGAAAATTTACAAGGTTACCAGAAGTCACTTGAGAGAGAAAAAGGGTTTTTTATTGTGCCTCTTTCTTCAATGCGCTTTGCCAATCTCCCTCCACCAACCTTTTCCTTGTAAAGAAGTCTGGTGTCAGTCAATTCCCCCTTTAGTTAAGGCTTTTTGCTGGGAAGTAGCGTATGGGAAAATTAACACTGGATTACCTTCAAAAGAAGGGACCATTTTTTGTGTATTTCCCCAAATCGGTGCACTCTTTGTAAATCTGATGGTGAATCTTGTTACCACTTAATAGTTTCCTGTTCCTTTGCTGCAGAGATTTGGGACTGGTTCTTCACTTTGTTCAGGTGTAGGTGGAACGTGCCAATGGAAATTAAGATGTTGTTTGGTTCATCAACTTTTGCATGGCTGAAGAGGGGAAGATTAATGTGGAGATGTACTAGAGCAGCAGTAATTTGGACCTTGTGGTAGGAAAGAAATGCTTGGATCTTCCAAGAGAAGGAGAGAAGTAAACAACAAGTTATAGACTGTGTAATGAATAGAGTTATACATTGGCTACTAACTTTGGATCTGCTTAGACAGTACTCCTTTGATGACATTTGGAGGAACTGGTACCTGGTGGCTTCAAGCTCAGTGCAGAAAGTTAAAACAAGGTTGGCTTGGGTACCTCCATTTGAAGAGTTTTTGAAACTAAATTTTGATGGGAGTAGTCAAGGCAACCCAGATCCTTCTAAAATTGGAGGGGCCATAAGAGATAAGGAAGGAAATCTAATAGCACTCTATTCAGCACCAGTGGGGAATGGAGACTTGTTGAAAGCTGAGTTGTATGCAGTATTACAAGGTGTCCAGATAGCAAAAGAGATGCATGTGGAGAACCTAGTGATAGAACGGAACTCCAAGGTGGTGATGGGCTGGATAAAGAATCTGGATTCAGTGATTTGGTGCCACAAAGATGAAATGAAGTTCAAATGGCTAACACAACATATGAATCTGGTTATACAATGGGTGGGGAGAGAAGCTAATTGTTTGGCTGATTCTTTAGCCAAGCAAGGGGTAATGAGGGACTGGTTGTTTTGGGCACAGTTGTAAATCTCTTGCTGCTTTTTCATTAGGTGTGAGGCTGCACCTTGCGCCTCTCCTTGGGATGCTTGTAACTGTTACTTATTATTTATGAGTAATAGGTAAAAACAAAACCTCTCTACTTCTTTAAGACTTTCCTGGATTTCATCACCTCCTTTTTCAGTCCAATCCCCAGTAGACTCCTTTCAATTTAGTGCAATCATTTGACACCAAGACATTTTGATGTTTTCTCTAACTTCTGAATCTTCTTGCTATGAGAGTAGCCTTTCTGAGCTCCATCAGATCCTTAGACTCCTCATTAATCCCTTCCAATTCCAACACAGTGTTCTTCTCAAAAAACTAAACTTCACCTAAATCTTCACCCTTTTCATTGGCAACTCCTGCAAGTCTAGCTGATCTCTGGACATTGAAAAATTTTCTTCAAAACCTGCATCAGTCTTCCTCAAAGGCATTGCATATTTCTCTTCCAATTCTTTAAATGTTTTCCCAGCGAATTCCTCACCCCCTATGAAAAATAAACCCAATGATTTGCTCGCCTCAATTTCTATGTTCACAAACTTCTCCAAATCAATTGACCTTTTCAGTTACATGGGTTTTGTAGAGAAGATGGGCCGAATGGCCCATAGGTTGCTTATTCCTTCTTGTTATTTATGTTTCTTTTCTGTAATGGGCCTTATTCTGGGTCCATCCTGTCAATATTAAGTTCTGTGTAAATTCTTACCCAACTAAGGGYCTCCTTGTAATTATTCAAATATTTCTAATAAAACAGTGTTAGGGGGCTGAGAGAGAGTGAGTTTGAAATCCTCTTCTCAGACCCCTCATTGCTGAACCCTCAACTCTCTTCTCTTCAGTTTTCTTCAGGTTTCATCCATTGTAATCTCTTCTTCACTTCAGTCATCGTCCTCTCCTTCCTCCCCATCTACAGCCCCATTCTCATCATTCTCCTACACTGGTCTTGTTCTATACTTTTTCTTGAAGAATGAAAATAAAAATTTCATTAAAGAAAAGAGAAGTCATACAGTCTGAGGGGTGTCAAGATAACACCCCGCCACAGCCTTAACAAAAAAAAAGCCAAAATACATGAGACACTTTAAGGGAAAAGAAACTGATCAAAATTACAAGTTTGTGACTCGAGAATATTCCAGAAGTTCTCTCCCAATTCTGCTTTGCTAATCTGATGAAATTCTAGATGCTCCAGAAACCACTCTGACTGCAAAATGGTCTCCAGTTCTTTCATTCAAAATAACCCAGCAGACTGCAAAATGGATACAGCTCCACACAATCTTTGCTTTCTTGCAACCATTAATTCTTGGCCAGGAAGAAAACAGCTCTGCTGTAGTTGTAGGTTGAACACACTCATTCCAAAAGAAAGGAATAAAACTTCACATGAAATTGGCAATCTTGCAAGAGTAGAAACGTGATAACCTGTCTCCTCATCCAAACAGCAAAGATAGCAAAAGCTTGTCATGCAAAAACCTCTACTCTTCAGATGATCTTAAGTCAAGATGCTATCCAAAGCCACTAACCAAGTGAACACTTCCACTCTGGGGGGGAATAGTGTTCCCCCACACTCCTTATACTTGATCAGATACCAGCTGCTCCCTGACCAGCGCCAAGTAGAAAGATTTCACAGTGAATTTTCCATTTTTGCACTCTTTCCMCCACAAACCATCCCTTGAAGACATAGAGATATTAGTTTATTGAAAATTCTCTAACAGCAGTAGACATTCTTCAATTTCTTGATCCCTAAATGGCCTTCTAAACTTTGGGCTCCACACCAGTTGGAGGAATGCACCTTGAGCCTCAAGACATAAACTAGATAAGCTTTTTAAAATATTGTAATAGACCTACTCTAAGACAAGATAAATGAAATTTTGGTTTCTTTTATGTACTTTTACAACTAATCCTCTTCCAAGCAGAACCATGTATGTGCTATACGCCAATTTATGGTTTTTTCTTTCTTTCTTTTTTTCTTTTCATTTTCTGATTGGTGATCAAAATATTAAAATTTTGTTAAAACTATGGCAATTATGGAGATGTACAAAGAGGGAAACCAAACATCAGCATTGTGCTGATTCACCAAGGAACAAATTAAAGCCAATAAAATATGCAAACTATGATCTAAAAGAAGATACACATATCATTAAAATACACAGGAGAAACTATTATGTATTATCTTTGCACACAACGGACAATATTAATCAGAAAAAAGAACACTTGCCTATTTGGTATTTCTCCTGGGAGTTCCATAAAATGCACAGCTCGATCTGAATAACTTGCAAATACAGTCTATAAAAGTGAAAAGAACAAATAAGCATGAATTGAAAATCATGATCACATTCTTCTATGCCTAACACATACTTTTTAAAGTGATCAGTATTTACTAAAAAAGAACCAAAATAAGAGAAATGTACAGCTTCCAATTACAGGACCCAATTTGTGAACACAAACCAGGAAGTTTATATAAATAATCTAAATCATCTATATATGTCAAATGTGCATACAATATCTCTAAGAAATTTTAAATTAGCATCTAAAATACAAAAAAAAATGGAGAATAATATTTGGGAGCTAATTTAATTAACTTTCAATAAAATTTTAAGTCATCTAATTCAATGTACTATGACTGTCACTAATTTAATTAACTTTTTGAAATTTATTTTGTTGTATTTATTGTAGTTTTGGTAATTATTTATTGTATTTTCCTAATTATTGCAGTGTTTTAAAAGTGCAAGGTGAGGCGCGCACCTTTTTGAAGCAAGGCGCAAACATAAAAAAAAAAAGATAAAAAATCAAAAAAATGTCAGAAATTTCAAAAAATGCCAAAAAATCAAAAGAAATGCAATAAATAAAAAAATTAAACATAATATTAATTGTTTTCTTGGTAAACCCACATAGAACAATGAGGGAAGAGAAGGGAGAAGAGAGAAGAGAGGAGAGAGAAAAGAAGAAAAAAGGTTTGGAGTCAAAAACATAACCTGGCAGCGCCAGGCWTTTTGTTATTTATATTAGGGCAACCCGTTCCAATAATAAAAAAGATAAAATTACATATGTGCCTTTGTAGCACTAAACTCAAGAAAAGACTAACATATTCAACACTCCCCCTCAAGTTGGGACATAGACATCAATCATGCCCAACTTGTCACATAAGTCATTGTGACATGAGTGATGTATTGTAAATATATATGCAAGTTGCTCCTTAGAACTAACATATGAGGTGCACACTTCCCCATTAACAATCTTCTCTCTGATAAAGTGTTTGTCAATTTCAATATGTTTAGTTCTATCTTCTATCATGAGAAACTGGGTTGGCTACAATGTTGATGGCAGCCTTGTTATCACAATACAAGGGCACGGGGCTACCAAATTGAAAACCCAGTACACTCAACAAATTCTTTATCCACATAGCTTCAGCCACCCCATGGGACATTGCCCTATACTCAACTTCAGCACTAGACCTAGCCACCACACTTTGTTTCTTGTTTCTCCATGTGACTAGGTTTCCTCCCACAAAAGAACAAGGGAGAATGACGGTTCAGTCCAGGGTCAGAATTCATAGGCACAAAGTACAGCTGGGGTAGGTGCCAGCTCGGAATTGATGCCAATTCCTGGGCGGGCATTGGTGCATAGGGTGGGGGTAATTGACCTTTTGAAATGTTGTAGATCTGCAATGGAAATCAAAATTCTGCAATGGGTCTGTCCGTACTTCTCCAAAAGAACAATACCCACTAGTGGACTTTCTATCAACAACTGATCCAGCCCAATCAGCATATGTATATACTTCAACCTTCAAATGCCCATTCTTTTTCCAATCACCCGTGATCACTATGTCATCAACATACACAATCAAGGCTGCAATCTTTCTATCCCCCCTTTTTACAAATAATGTATGGTTAGTCTAACATTGTTTGTAGCCAATATGCTACATAACCAAATGGAACTTGTTGAACCAAGCTCTAGGTGACTGTTTTAGACCATACAAGGACTTCTTTAACCTACACACTTTCAGCTCTTTGCTTTGGGCACTAAAGACAAGGGGTTGTACCATGTACACCTATTCCTCAAGGTCTCCATTCATGAAGGCATTTTTTATATCTAGATAAAGAAGATCCTAATCAAGATTTGTAGCAAGAGAAAAAAAAACTCTGATGGAGTTCATCTTAGCTACTGGAGCAAAAGTCTTTGCATAATCTACCCCATATACCTAGGTAAACCCTTTTGCCACCAACTTGGCCTTGTACCGTTCTATTGTGTCGTCAGCCTTGTGCTTCACTATGAACACCCACATACATCCTACCGGTTCCTTACCCTCAGGAAGAGCCACTAACTCCCACGTACCATTTTTATGTAAGGCATTTATCTCTTCTTTCATTGCATCTGTCCATTAAGGTACTAAGAGAGCTTTTGCCACATTTTTAAGGATAAGGACACTATCAATGGAAGAAAGGAAAGCACAAAAAGAGGATGAGATGTTCTCATAGAAAACAAAATGGGAAATAGGATGTTTGGTGGTACAAGAGGATCAGAAACATCAATAGGAATAAGAGTACCTGGTTGGATAGGATCTATCCCCGGTGAATCTGTTGGTGTTTGGTGGTACAGCTTTAAGTTGATCCACAGCTCTTGAACTCAGCTTACCCTTGACACGACGAATAAAAACACGGAACGGAGGAGGGTTAGGCAAAAGTGGAAGAACCTGAACTCATTTCTCCTCCACCTTACTCTCCCCCTGTGAAGAAACAAGGAAAAAAAAGGGTCACTCTCAAAGAAGGGCACATCCATAAACACAAAGTATTTTCTGGAAACGGGATCAAAATACTAATAACCCTTTCGAGAAGAAGGATAACCCAACAATACACAAGGAATTGTTTAGGGATCAAGTTTACCATGAGTAGGAGACAGGTTTTGAACAAAACAACGACAACCAAACACACGGATAGGAACGGAGAAGAGTGGATCCTTGGGAAATAGGAGCTGATGAGGGGCCTTGTACCCTAACAAGTGACACGGAATACGGTTGATAAGATAGGCAACAATAACATAGCATCCAACCAAAAATGTTTAGGAACATTCATGTGTATAAGTAACCAACGAGCATCTTCAAGGAGATGGCGATTTTTTCTTTTGGAAACACCATTCTATTGGGGGCTTCTAGCACAAGAGCTACGATGGATGGATCTACACGAAGCAAAAAACTCCATGAGATCACTATGAAAGTACTCTTTGGCGATTTTTTATCTTCGTTTGAAATTGAGTGAATATCAGGCGTTGAAAATCTTTAATAATTTTGGGTACTTCATCTCTGGACCTCATAAGATACACCCATGTATATCGAGAGTAGTCATCAATAAGCGTAATGAAATACTTATAGCCAGTCTCAGATGTTAAAGTAACAGGGTCCCAAACATCAGAATAAAGAATATGGAAAGGAAAATCAGAGTTATTATTCCTTAAAGTAAAATGATTTCTACAATGTTTACTCAATTGACAAGTTTGACATGTGAGTTCAGACACTGAAATTGACTTGAACAAATCTGGAAACAAAACTTTCAACGATACAAAAGATAAATGACCCAAACGGCTATGCCATAAATAAACTTGACTCTTACTAGACAAACTCTTGGACTCAATAGCAGCAAGACTAGCTTTGTTCTCCAGCATGTAAAGACCATCCACCATACGACCACTACCAATCATCTTCCCCGAGGCCAAATCCTATATCACACAAGAAGGGAAAAAGGTTACTGAGCAATTTAACGAATTTGTTATACCACTAACAGAGAACAAAGAATCTTGTGAGAGAGCTTGTGAGCACTAAATTTTTCCATGATTTGGCAAATGGGAGACGAAGAAAGAATCTTGTGACCAAGCTAGAGATAGGGGAGGAGGTGATTACCAACCAGGATGACATAGCCAGAAAATTTTTGGACCACTTCAAATCGATTTATAGAAGCCCTTTGAGTGAGAGAGCAGACGTGGAAGGGGTGGAATGGCCAAGAATTGATGACGGAGTGGCAAGGTGACTGGAAAGGGGTCGAGAAAGAAGAGATTAAGAAAGATATCTTTCTAATGGATAGATCCAAGGCTCCAGGTCCAGATGGCTTTACAATGGGTTTTTATCAAGACTATTGGGAGGTGTTGAAAGAGGATTTAGTTGAAGTCTTTAAGGAATTTGCAGACAATCACATTATAAGCCCCGGAATTAATGCCACCTTTTTGGCCTTGATACCTAAGAAGAATGATGTCAACCACCCAAACGATTATAGACCTATTAGTCTGGTGACAAGCATCTATAAAATTCTGGCTAAAGTGCTCTCGTTGAGGATCAAAACAGTCCTCCCTTCTATCATTAGTGAAACCCAGGGAGCTTTCATTCAAGGGCGACACATAACATATCAGATCTTAATTGCGAATGAGTGTGTGGAGGAAATGAAAAGGTCTAGTAAGAGAGGTTTCATTTGTAAATTGGATCTT